TCAGGAATGATTTGGAAGGGTGTCTGTAAAGAAAATAAGTGTTTTGTGCTGCTTGCCACTAGTAAGCAGTTTTGTTAATAGACATTTTTGCACCGCCTTTTGACATTAACACAACATCATGGTCTGGTACCAGATTTAAGAAAATCAAACCACCTAATATTTCATGATCACCTGTACAAATTAAATTGATTCCTAACAATACAGAAGTAATATATGTGTGGTGTGTGTATTTTTTCATTTTAGTTTAGCAGATAGTTTTCTATAAAATACATTTTTACTAAGTCCCTGTGTGAGCAACTTAAAAAAAAATAGACTAAGGTACAGATGTAGTGTATTTAATAAACTGTCAACAAAAAAAAAAAAAGAAGGGCCGGGGAGATGGCTCAGTGGAATAAGCGCTTCCCTGGCAAGCGCAAGGGCCTGAGTTCAATGCCCAGTTCTGCAAAAAAAAAAAAAAATAAAATAGGAGCTGGGGAGATGGCTCAGTAGAATAAGCGCTTCCCTTGCAAGCGCAAAGGCCTGAGTTCAATCCCCGATTCTGCCAAAAATAAATAAATAAAAGAATGCTAGTGTCATCTCTTGATGGAAGAACCATTGAATCTACTCTGTTGTTAATTATTTCCCTTTTTATTGTTCAGCATTATTCTAGAAAAAAAATACTCCTTTTTTGAGCACTACTGCCTTATTAAAATCTTTAGCTTTTTCTTTTTTTTCCTTCTATTTATTTTCTTTCTTTTTTTTTTTTTTTGAGACATGATCTTGCTCTGTAGTCTAGCCTGGTTTCAGAATGATTTTTTTGGGCTACTCAAGATGCCTTCAGGGTAAGTCTGGTTTGGCTTGAGGATGAGGGAATTGAACCACAGCATCCTGAGCCTGACTGCTTTGTTTTAGTAGGCACTTAAACAGCTGAGCTAATGGGCAGGCCCCCAAATAGCAGAAGGATTTTTTTTTTTGGGGGGGGGTGCTGCTCAGGATGTCTAGGCTGGTTTCAAACTTAGCCTCCACGGGGGCTTGCCCCTTAGCTCAGTTCTTTAAGTGGCTGCTTTAACAAAGCAGTCAGGCTCAAGTTGCTGTGGTTCGATCCCCACAATTCAAGCCAGCCAAACCTGCCCTGAAGGCATTCGGAGCAAAAAAAAAAAAAAAAAAAAAATCAAACTTAGCCTCCCAACCGCTGGGATTACAGGTGTGCAACACCATGCCCAAATCTTTTTTTTTTTTTTTCCCCAGATCTTTAATATTGTATTCTTAATTTTTCAAATAGCTGTATTAGCATTTGTCTTACTTTTCTTATTGAGACAAACTAGCAGACACCCACAGTTAAAGGAGGAAAGGTTTCCTTAGCTCACAGTGGAGGTTTCAGTCCATAGTTGGCCGGCTCTAAGGCAAGAGTGGCATGGCAGAGGGGCATCACAGGAGACAAACAGTTCATGCCAGGCAGAAGGCAGCAAGGCAGCAAAGCAGCAGCTAGTGACAGTGGCAGCCCTCTTCTGTCCCTTATGTCCTATCCAGCCTGCACTCACACCCCGGCGAGCAGCCTTAACCCTGCCATTGCCCCACGAATCAATCCCAGCGTCGCATCCTTGATCCCAGCATCACTCACCCGAGATCCAGCCACCTCAGAAGAGCCCCACATGGGACTCCGGGGCTTTGGGGGACATCTGGGTACAGATTGTAACAGCCCTGAAACATCCTTTTATCGTTGCTTTTGATAGAGGAATCAGTTCCAAAAGAACATTTGCTTAAATGATTTGACAGTAAATATTAATAGACATTTTGATGTGCATTGATATTTTGATTTTCTTTATTGTCTCGAGCCATTATACTTTTCATTTGACTTGCTTTTCTTAGATGTGCTTAATCTTTTAGTAGCATAGAAGAGTTTAAGAAACAGAGAACGGTTTTGTAAGTCTCCCTAACCCCTTTTGTGGGCTGTATTCATTCCATAGATGCACGCTATTCCGCTGAGGTCCTCCTGGGTGATGACCTGTGCTTACGCCCCTTCTGGTAACTATGTTGCTTGCGGAGGCTTGGACAACATCTGCTCCATATATAACTTAAAAACCAGAGAAGGCAATGTGAGAGTGAGCCGGGAGTTGCCTGGGCATACAGGTGAGTCATGGGAAGTCCCGTTCCTTCCTACTCGGCCTTATTTATCCCTAGAAAGTACTGATTGAGGCCTTGGTCTAACTGTGCTTGGTTGGCTATAGGATAAGTGGTAATAAGAAAGCAGAAATTACAGCAAATTAGGAAAACAACTTCTAAAAGTTGACCATAATTTTATTATTGTAATATTATTTAGAGCTGAGGCTTGAACTCAGGACCTTGTGTGTGCTAATAAGCACATACGCTACCATGGAACCACACTCCCTGGCCCACAAATTTATTTTTATTTCAAAAATAGTTGTGCTTTTTTTTTTATAAACATGTGAAAACTCCAGACATAATCCCAGCACAGGATAGGCTGAGGCAGAAAGATCAGTATGAGTTTGAGGCCAACCTATGCATAGCGAGGGAAGGCCGGCCTAAACTACATAGCAGGATCCCATCTCACAATAAATATAAATGAACAAATGAATGAATGATCCAGATAATAAAGATGCAACATGGAAGCAAATAAAATGTTCTCTATTTTATGCCATCATCTGACAAGTGTGGGCCTTTGGCAGCTGCACTCAGTGTATGTTAAGAAGCACTGATGAGGGGCTGGTGAGATGGCTCAGTGGTCTAGAGCACCTACTTAGAACAAGCTTAGCAAAGCACAGGGACCGTGGTTCAATCCCCCAGCACCACATGCCAGCCAGCCCCGCCTCCTGGTGGGCTGAGCTGGCCACACACAAAAAAAATAAATAAACAAATAAACAACAACAAAAAAAAAGCACTGATGAAGACTCCGTACTCGGCGGCTGACTGCTGGGTTGCCTGTGTGAGCACAGGAGTTGCCTAGTGTAGAATTTGGTTAATGGTGTTCATTAGGAATTGACTCGCACTCAGTTTATATTCAGATAAATTTTTGGCATTACTGTTTGATGATGGTTTTTAAACATCTTTAGAGTGGTGCTTCCTGCTGCTTGCCTGCGCCGACTGGCTGATCGTGCCAGGTGCTCACGGGTGCACCAGCCTGCTCTGGTGTGCTCCTCATTTCTCACACTGGTTTAAGGATTTTTCTCCAGCATGCTTAACACTGTCTTCCAGAATTATGGTTATTCACATAAAAAAGCATGGCTCCTCTGTAGGTGACCTAGGTGATGGATGTCTTGGTCAGCTTTGTCACTTTCAAATACCTCGTGTCATTGTTACATGAAGTGCCTCATAAGAGTGTTGATAAAATTTAGTTGCAGACAGCTTAGAGTTAGAAGAACAGAACTGCAGATCATGTGACCACTTGTCCAGTTCTGTTTTTTAAAATAGTATGGTAATTGAGTTATTTAATAACCTAAAATGTGCTACTCTCTGCTGTAGGCTACTTGTCCTGCTGTCGTTTCTTAGATGACAGCCAAATTGTTACAAGTTCAGGAGACACAACCTGGTAAGTAACCAGAAAACACTGCTTTTGGGGTGGAAAAGTCCATGGGAATTAACATAAAAGCTCTTGGTAATTAAGTAGTTATTTTTGATTATAGTGCTTTATGGGACATCGAAACAGCCCAGCAGACCACCACATTCACTGGGCATTCTGGAGATGTGATGAGCCTTTCCCTGAGTCCTGACATGCGGACGTTCGTTTCTGGTGCTTGCGATGCCTCTTCCAAGTTATGGGATGTTCGCGATGGGATGTGCAGGCAGTCCTTCACGGGCCATGTCTCAGACATTAATGCTGTCAGTGTAAGTGAGAGGCTTTTTATTTTTTTAAAATGTATTTGGTATAGGGCCTCACTGCACAGCTGATACGTGGAGTGATTTGTGGACTTACAGCGATCCTCCTGATTTTAGCTTCCCCAGCACTGGGATTATAGGCATGTGCCACCATGCCTGGTCTCGGCGGCAGGCTTAATGTACCCAGGGGTGGAGCTGGAATGGCATGTGGTACTGGGCATCGAACCCCAGTCCCTGCGCTTGTCTCAGCAGGTGCTTGTTCACTGAGCTATCTCCCTGGCCCAGTGAAAGGGATTTTTTATTATTATTATTTTATTTTTTGGCGGTACTGGGGATTGAACTCATGACCTTGAACTTGCCAGGCAAGCACTTATTCTACTGAGCTATCTCCCCAGCCCAGTGAAAGGGATTTTAAAGAAAACTTATTCTGGATGTAAAATGTTGAGGTCTATTGCATGATTTTAACAGAAAATTCTCTCAGTGATTCTTATGTTTCAAACATTGAATTCCTAAACACCAGGAGTTTAAGAAAAAGACTTTAATCTGTAGCTCTAGGTCCGTGATGGGGAACCCTTTAGAGCTTTCGGTGATACCACAGCCCTCTGCAGCACAAATGCCTTTGGTTTGCCACTGATAGGCCTGTATTTCCAGAAGAAATACAGGTTTTATTTCCAGAATTGGCTGGATATAGCTCAGTCCTTGAGCAAACAGGTACTCAGAGATGTGCACAATAGTGCACAGATAAGGAGGTCTGATTTGAAATGAGCCAAACGTAGGATCACACGTTAGTTCTGTGTCACCCTCGGAACACACCTCTCCCTTGAAGTAAAGGAGAACAAAACGCCTGAGAGACGTAGGGGGAAGTAAAGGGGACATGCGCACATACATGCAGCAGTATGTTTCAAAATACCATCATACCACAGAGAAGACCAAAGCCAGGAGCCTTCACTGTTTAGCACCAGGGGGAAGTTTGCAATGAACTGCTAAGACTGGACGCCAGACGGGGTTCAGCGCCTGAGAGTCCTAGCTGCGGGATCACAGCCTTACGGCTCAATATTCTTCGACAGTGGTGCTTGTTACAGAGTAAAATCTTCGTCTTTGTTGCTTGTACCTCCTCCTCCTCCTCCTCCTCTCTTTTTTCTTTTTTGTGTTTCTGAGACAGGTCTCACTATGCAGTTCAGGCTGGCCTTGAGCTCACTTTGTAGCCAAGGCTCGTGTCAAACTCACAATTCTCCTACCTCAGCCTCCAGACTGCTGGGATTACAGGTGTGCACCACCACGCCTGGCCCTTAAAATCAGCTTCTTATTCACAGCCAGCTGCTTTTCCAAGTCACTGTCCAACCAACCCTAAAGCCATTGTTCTCATGTTTCATAGCCTAGACATAACATCTAGAGAGAACCTCCTAAACTCTGTCCCTTCTTAGTGACATATAGTAGAGGTGTTCTCCTTACAGAAAGCAATAGGAGAGTAATACCACTGTCACCGTTAGTAACAGCGAGTGAGGCTGGCCTAAAATTCACAGTGATCCTCCTGCCTCAGCCTCCTGAGGGCTGGGATTACAGGTGTGCAACACTGTGACACCACTATTTAAATCGGCCTGAAACTGTCAGTCTGTGTAGTTGGACCCAAATAATAGATGCAGTAGAAAGTAGAAAAAATATTTGCAGGTGATATGCTCAGCTGTCTAGAAATCACAAGCAAAAGTATAGTGTATTTCCTGGATTGCAGAACTACTTTTAAAGCTGTGGCTTTCCTATGCCAATAATTTATTAAAATATAGGACTTTGTCTAATTGATAATGTTCAGGTGCTTCTGGAGAAATACTGGATATAGCAGCTTTGTTTTTTCTGTTTAGTGCAGCATTAAGCATTGTATTTCTCTTGTCTTTACACACTATGAACAACTATTTATGAACATTTGTGCAGATTTACTTCATTCCTATGGACAAAGGAAAACAACCATTATATAAATGATTTAAAAAATATATAGGAAAGAAATCCTATTTAGAGTAAAGAATCACAAATTTATCAAAAATGGCACATATCTTAATGAAGAAAATCATAAAGATTTGCAGATGAATACTTAGGTTCAGTTTTGTTTTTTGCGACAAGGCCTTGCTGTATAGTTTAGGCTGCCCTTGAACCACCTGGTCCTGGCTGGCCTCAAATTCATGACACTGTCTTGGCTTCCTAAATGCTGAGTGAAGGGCGTGTGCCGCCACCTACATGGCAATATAGTTTTAAGCAAGTGTGACTGTATTTCACTAACCAAATGTCTGGCACTAACGTTTAAATTTTAGGGCTGGGATGTGCAGCTCCATGATAGACTGCTTGCCAATGTGTGAGGCCGGGGCTTGATCTCCAGCCAAGTTGAAAAAAGAAAAAGATGTAGAAGGCTGAGTTGGAAAGATCAAGAGTTCAGGGCTAGGGGCTTGCCAAATAGCTCAGTGGATTAAAGCACCTGCAAGCAGACACAGGGGCTGGGGGTTCAATCCCGGGGGCCTACCATGCCAGCCCCGCCCTCGGGGCGCACTGAGGAGAGGACTGAGACTGGGTGTGGTGGCACGCACACCTGAAGTCCCAGCTCTTGGGAGGCTGTAAACAGGAGAATCACTATGAGTCCCTGAACACCTATAGACCCTTCCCTAAAAATACAAAAAAATGAGTTCCAGGCTGGTTCGGACCACACAGCAAGACCCTGTCTCAACATGGAAGAAGAAAAAAATTATAAAAATCATTAGTGCAGACCGGTGGGATAGCTCATTGGTCTAAAGCGCCTGCTTAGGCAAGTTTAGGCAAGTGCAGGGACCACAGTTTGATCCCCAGCACTGCATGCCGCGAGCCAGCTACAAAAAAAAAAAAAAAAAAATTCATTAGTGCCCTGTAGTCCTTCGTGTGGTGCTGCTCGTGTAGAAAACCCTCCCACCAGTTTATTAGCACAGTGGATGGCTCCCTGTGAATTTTCTGCGCATCTGTGCAATCGTATTTGTTGCTTTTCTTCATAGTTTTTCCCAAATGGCTACGCCTTTGCCACCGGCTCTGATGATGCAACTTGCCGGCTCTTCGACCTCCGCGCGGACCAGGAGCTGTTACTGTATTCTCACGACAACATCATCTGTGGAATCACCTCTGTAGCTTTCTCAAAAAGCGGGCGCCTCCTGTTAGCTGGTTATGATGATTTCAATTGCAATGTCTGGGACACGCTGAAAGGAGATCGTGCAGGTGAGTGAGTCAACTTTCACTCCCAATGAGGCAGAGTGGGAGGTGCCCTTGCAGGTGACCTGACAGGTTTCTGCGGACGCCCTGGAGGTGTTGACCCCTGGAGGTGTGGACCGTGGTGCCCCACAGGTTCTCCTTCCAGTTCAACTGCTGTTACTCTGAATGCAGTGACAGTCCATGGTTGTGTTATTTCTGTTGTCTGAAGGGTAACTAAATTCTAGTGAGTTTGGTTATAAAGATAAATAATGAGTATCACCCACTATAGTCTTTTTATAAATCTTGAGCCTTTTTTGTTTTCACAGGTGTTGGGGATTGAACTCAAGGCTGTGTACACAAGTGCTCTGTCCCACTTAGGACTTTTCCTGACAGTCTTGCTGTGCAGTTCAGGCCAGCCCCAAGTGCACGGATCACAGGCATGGGCTACCACACCCAGCTGGAACCTGTTATTTCTAATAAGCCTTTTAAAGTTGGGAGTGGTAGTGCACTACACCCAATTTTGTAATCCCAGCACTAGATTACACAAGCCAAAGGATTGCTAGGCGTTTGAGCCCAGCCTGGGCTGCATAGCAAGAGTTTAACCTGACACCTGCCAAAAGAGTGCTTCTAGATGTACACACTGTACTTCTAGTGTTATAAGTGCTAACCTTTTTTTTTTCTTTTCTTTTTTTTAAAGGTGTCCTTGCTGGTCATGACAACCGCGTCAGTTGTTTAGGTATAACGGATGATGGCATGGCTGTGGCCACAGGCTCTTGGGACAGTTTTCTTAGGGTCTGGAATTAACAATGTTGTATATTTCTTCTGTTCTCCATTGCTATCTGGAGAAATCTATGCTACAGCCTATAGCTGTGAAAATAAATTCTACCTTATATTTGCAGGTGAAGATTTTTATTATTGTATTACATACAAAAAGCTTTCAGTAAAGAAAAACGGGAATACAAGGCAAAGCCTGCTGAGATGAAAAGGACCAATGTAGTCATTCATTTGAGAAATTAGATTAACAAATTTTGGGGTCTTTTTTTTTTTTTTTAAGTAGATCAGAATGTATACTTCATAGCAGTTGCCCATGGTGTTTGCTTTTTGTTAAGAACTACATCTTAAATTTTGTATACCTAAAAAATATCCTGTCTTTGGGTTTTATAATGCAAGAATCAGGCCTTGTTAATAGATGGAAGTGATAGTATGTGTGTGTTGTGTTTAAGTAGGAAATCTCCCTGAATTTGACATTTCTTTTTATCTAACCAACAACTTAATGTGTAAGACTGTTATATTGGTGGCATACGCCTATAATCTGAGCATTCCAGAGGCTGAGGCAGGACATACAGTGAGCTCAAGGTGGAGGATGAGTAAAGGTCTCAACTAAATAGTGTTGATCCATAAGCTCTGGGTGAGGTACCTCCCAGGAAAGTCAGTTTCTTGTGTATTCTAAATAAGTGCTTGTTTTCAGTCCTTTGAAAGGACAAATTGTATGAACACCAGAGGAAAAAGCTTACACTCAGACATTTTGGACATACCTAAAAACTCCATCAGATTTATATTAATGAAATCTATATCCCAGCATATATATAATTCTTGGCATTTTAAAATCCTAGTTATGATCAGTTGACACTTGGAGTAATAACCTCTAAACCACTGGGCTTGTTTATTGATTTCATTTGTAGAGTGAATTTATATTTTAAAAGTGTGATAAATATTGCGGTTGTCTCTGCATCTGAAGAATCTCAGTGTTTTTCTATTAGTAGCATTTAGAGAGCAGTAACATTTTAGAGAAAAATGTAAAATTTGACCATTTGCTAGCACTAATTATAAACAAAGTGGCTTTATGAATTTTATGCAGTATAAAATCTGATTTTATTGGCTGGGTGTAGTGGCACACACCTGGGCTACACAGGTGAATTCAAGGCCAGCCTGAACTATATACTATCTCAAAAAAAAAAAAAAAGTCTGAATTTATGTAAACTTAAAGCCCCAGTTTTTAGGGGCTGGGAGATGGCTCAGTAGAATAAGTGCTTCCCTGGCAAGCACAAGGGCCTGAGTTCAATCCCCGGTTCTGCCAACAAAACAAAACAAAAACCAGTTTTCTTAAAATGAAACATTTAAGCTTTTTGCTCTCTTATAATGTTTTTGTCCTTCTCATAGAATATTTTCCTCTGGTTTTCTCCTAGATATGTAAATGACAAAACTGTCTTGATGTAAAGTCATGTGTTATTCTGATATACAGACATGCACTTTGTAACTTAGTAAATTATAAATTACTATTCAGTTAACTTTTGATAACCGAACCCTAAATACTTCTAAATTTTACATGTAAATTTTCATCTATATTGTAAATATGCTGGTATGTGCAGCAACTGTAGTGAAAGAGCAGTGTTTTGTTTACTAAGGTCAGTTATTAGAAGTAGACTAAAACAGACAAAGGCAACGTAGGACCAAAACAAAATATTGTAGATGGCAGGCGTCAATGTATATTTGTCTTGATTAGGATTTCTATGAGTTGTTTGCTATTAATGTTTATTTGTGAACTATTTATGTCACTTCATAAAGAGCAGCTCTTTAATATAAGGCACATTTTTAAAAAAGCATATTCATGTTCAAAACAGGGTTTGAACAGTCCATTCCAAACTTCAGTTCAAGAAAGCGCTTCTATCATATGTAAATAACTACAGAAACACACATTTTATACATGTAGGCAGTATCTCTTCTTGAAAGTCACTGTAATAAGATACTTTAGAGGCACAATACAGACTAGACTTCTGTGGTCCTACCATTTTAAATAAAATGACATTTATTTTAATATTACTACAGTATTTGTAGAGAGGAATTGAAAGTAATTCACATAAGGCGACTGACAAGTAACCGCCATTGAATGCTGTGGGTAACTGCACTCAGGACCAACTGGTGACCAAGTATTCTCATTACTGCAGTAATTACCTTGCTGGGAACACAGCTCAGTAGCACAGCACTTGCCTGACAAGTGTGCTTTTAGGAACCCAGCATCGTGAAACAAAAACATTTAAGCATAATGTGCCTCAGAAGACCGTATGTCAAGAGAGTAAATTTTTGAGGTGCAGGAAGATGTAATTTTTTTAAGACGGCATTACTGTGTTGCCACGGCTGGCCAGACAATCCTGCTTCAGCCTCTTGAGTTGGAAACTATGGATGTGTGCCACCACCCCAGCTCTCGCCAGAGTATCTCAAAGGTATTCTTTTCTAGAGCATGACTGCCACACAGTTTGGTTACCATTCAGCATATGAAAGCAGGTTTTGCTGGGCATGGGGGCATATGCCTATAATCCCAGCACTTGGGAGGCTCAGGCAGGAGGATCACTGTGAATTCAAGACCAGCCTGGACTACACAGTGAATTCAAGACCAACATGAACCGCAGTGAAACTCTGTCTCAAAAGGAAAGGAGGTTTTGCTGTCAGCAAGCACCTCTCCTCCGCTTTAACAGGTCTCATATCCCCCAGAGCATTCACGAAAATGTCATTTGGGGTGAATGCTGATGGACTCAACCTAAGTTCTCTTCCTAACTGACAATTCCACACTGAACTCCAAGTTCATAGAGGCAGGATTTTGGCTGTTATGTCAACAGCAGGAGAACCTAGTAGAGTTCACTTTTAGACTTCCAGGAGCTGACACTTCAGAATCAAGTGAACCAGTCTTGAGATAACAAATGCATGTACATGCTTCTGGAGTATGTTAAGGAACAGTGACACTTTTTCCAAATGACAGAATTTTTATTGTTCAAAAATGTTATGGCCCATCTCTAACCCTCGTGATGTCTCAAAAATTAATACTTAAGACTATAATGTAAGTGAAAATGTTCAGGCAAATCTGATTTGATGTGAATGTCTCAGATTTTAAATTATAAAACATTTAGTACTTGATGCGATGGTCGGTTAGTTTAACTTACAGCTGACTATAAACAATCCACATGGGGCCGGGGAGATGGCTCAGTAGAATAAGTACTTCCCTGCAAGTGCAAGGGCCTGAGTTCAATCCCCGGTTCTGCCAAAAAAAATAAAAAATAAATAAACAATCCCCAAATAGGCCTGTCATTTTAGGAATGAATGTTCTTTCAAAAAAAACCCTTAAGTGCGATTGTTTTGTTTCTCTCTTCCCTTTTACCAAATTTACAACTATGTTTGATCTCGTCAGAATTTTAAAAACCACCTCATCTTTTTTATAATAGTAGCACAATAAATAAAACTAGTATCTTAAGTTGGATTCAGCAGAATTCAGATTTACTAGTTTGTATTATTCATTGTGTGTTGCCTCAAATTCAGTGCAGTGCTGTATTTTCAAGTATGGGTTACAACAGGCAGTCACTAAAATGGTTTGTTGAACATCAAAGCTACAGCACTTTTGCTTAAAAAATTTATCAATCAGATTGATGGTGCACCTTGTATTTAGCCTATGTTTTTTGCATGTAGACAAAATTTCTTAAGAGAATAGTTTTTCTTAAACCAGTAACTGGTTTCGTAAAATACAGTATAATAGTGGCAACCAATGTACTTCTCAGAACTTACATAATAACAGTATTTTTCAATGAATAGAACTTCAGTGATGCACATGGTAGACATTTCAAGCTTTTTCTGTCTTTTACACAATGGTGCTCTCTCCGATTGTTTTCTTTCAAAGAAGCATCTGAACATTTCCATTTTCTTATCCAAAGGCATCCATATCTCAGTGTTTTTAAAGTTGGTTAAAAGATTTTCCTATTAGGTATTTTGAAAACATTTCTGTTCATTTAGTGTCTACATATTTGTGGCCAACTGACTATGAGTAACAGTTCAACATCTGATTATGGAAACAGTAAACATGCTACGTTAAAGCCTCTTACACAAGCTTTAAACCATGCAAACTGTGGACTTGTGCCATGATGTAACAGTATTCTTGGATCTTACAGTGATTCCTTTATTTGTACAGTTGCTTTGTGAAATAATGTGTGAATTGATAATTGTAATCAATAAAGTGCTTTTAACCAGAGTTTACTGTTACATGCTTTAATAAATATTTTTTAAAGTCCCAGAATTAAACACTTAAGTTTAGTATTTCATACTCAGCCCTAATTCCTTTAAACACTGGAGAATTTTTTTCCATGAAAAATGAATGAGTTACAGAAGCAAAGAAGAGACTGGAGTGCTACTGCTGACCTACCTGTAGCACTGTACAGCTTATTGTTGAAAGGCTGGAGATTCGCATTCAAAAGCAAGTGGCTTCTACTATAGTTCCTCTAGGATAACCTAGATTCCTTTTAATTCATAATAACCAGTTTTGAGACAGGCTCTCACTATGCAGTTAGGCTGGCCTTGAACTCACTCTGTAGCCTACGCTGGCCTCAAATTTGCCAGCAGTCCTATATGAGCTTTCCAAGTGCCTGCATCACCATGCCCAGCAATAACCAATTCTCCTTATAATATTGATTTAAAGTGTGTGCTTTTACTTCATTACAACCTCAAGGGGAAATTAGGAAATTAAAAGATGTTACACATCAGTTCTACTTGTCTAGGGAACAATACTGCGTAAGTACCTGTAAACTGCATCTAATGTGGAAAACATCTGAATGTGGTGGTCTAGAGCATCTTACCCTTTAAATGTTGGAAGTGAACAGCAGTATGGCAGTACAGCCCTGAGAGCCAGTTAATTCAAGGTGATTTATATGCCTGCTATACAAATGATTAAGAATGAAAGACCAGAATTCACTAAATCCAAGTATAAAGGCTACATCTGGCAAACAAATTTTATTTTCACCGTGTAAGCTTGCATACTTAAAAAATGTTCCGTAAAAAGTTTAGAATTATACAAAGTTTATAAATAACCCTGCAGACAGACAGACATAGTAAATAGCAAGTATGTGTAATAACTTTGAATTACATCAGTCATAGTTACATAATTCCTGCCTAAGTCGTGACCTGTAGGGTCACTGCTATCTGGGTAGAAGTTATTTCTCATTATGTCAGTGTTCCATTCCCAACATCCATACATTTTCTGACTTGATCAGGTGAAACAACACTCAAACTAAGCAAGCTTACCAGTGACTATGCCAGAAACACCATCCCAGTGTTCCCAGCTGTAGTGAGGATCAGCGTCACCTGCAGGCTTCGTAAGACACGTTGCCAGGCCTCACACCTGGAGTTTCTGATTCCTTAGGTCTGGGTTGAGACCCGAAAATCTGCACTTGCAGGTTCACAAATGACAGTGATGATCCAGGGATCAAACTTCAAGAACCACTGTACGCCCTGCACTGAGGTGGCAACCACAGCTCAAGTACTTGAACATGTTAACTGAAACGGATGCAGTACCCAGCCTTAGAAACTAGCTTTGTGTGTTACTATCGTCACCTAACCCTTATCAATGGCCTGTCCTAATTTTGGCTTGTATATCAACAATAAAAACTTTTACTATTTCCATTTGTATTTTAATTTGAATACTGCATCCAAATATCTGATTTTCATAAAAATATAAATATTTTTTAAAAGATCCTGTTGCCTAAATAATGTAATTTTCTCCTTCAAATATCTTGAAAAATACTTTCACGGCATGGTACACAGATGCTGTGAAAAGAACAACTAGCATCCAGGAGCCTTAAAAGGCACAGAAGAGGAAGCACTAGGAGGAAAAAGGCCTGAAGCTTTGTCCCAAGAAAGAGCTAGTGACACAGCTCAGCAGCACTGCGCCTGCCTGGCAAGCACAAGGTCCTGAGTTTCATTCCCAGTACCAATAAGAGAGTCACATGCTGTACTTGGCGGGATGCACTCTGTCTCCTGGGTTGTGCATTTTAACAAGCATCTAGGTGATTCTGATCCTGTGATCCTTTATTTTTTTTAACAAGATCTTAGAATGATGTTACTTTTACTATTTCCATATAAACTTGTCAGTTTTTAATACAGAAACAGACACAATACTTGAACCCATCAACACTACACTAAGGTAAAAAAGTACAGGAACTTTTAATGAAGCCCAGGCAAATTCATACAGTTAAATAAAAGTAAAAGCCTCTACTGGGAGACAGTCCATCAGAATCTTTTTAAGCAAGTGCCTACTGACAAAAGAGCTTTTACAACATTATTATAACCCACGTCTGATCTCCCTATCTAGGTTTTTTTTCCCTTCACTTCAAACTTTATTCCTAAAACAGACAGGAAAGCTTTCCTTACTGGACTTAGAACTGCACTGAGCTGAAAATTTTTTTTAAGAAACAGTTTGGGAAACTATTTAAACTCAGATACTTTTGTAAGTAACTATATTAACAAACCTTTATGCTGTTTTACATCAATTTTTAAAGTGATTAAAAGGGGTGAAATCAGTGTATTTATTAATGGTTAACATACAGCCACAATGGCCAAGAGGCTGAGCTGCATCGATGTGGTACACTCAAGAACATTCCACACTCCTGGATGGTCAAAGCAAGGCAGCTTATGAAACAACAACAAAAAAGAAGGCATCAAAAACTAGTTTTGAGAAAAAAAGATAAAAGGATTATTCTCCAACTCCTGGATGCCAGGAAGCAGAGTTTTCCAGAATCAAAAACAAAGCCCTAATGGAGAGCTCCAGGACCCACCCCGCAGGGGTCACATAGTTGGTTCTATTGCTTTTAACTAATTCATTAACACAAACGATTTTGTCTCTTTTTTTAAACCCCAAATTAAAATTAAGGACCTACCATAACACGCTTCAGCAATGCAAACACCCTGAGATAATTACCAGAATCTACGCAGGGATTTGCTATTTAGTACAGTTAGTATAATTCAAACGGAAGTCATTTCATAAAAATAACAACTGTCCCCATCTTCCAAGTTCTGTTTCCTCCTCTCACGGTCACCAACGCAATCTCTTTTGTTAAGATTCTTCATTGCTTTAATGCAGAAACTGCTTACTAAAATTTTCCAGCTCATTTTCAAGTTGAACAGCTTTATTTCTAGTTTAAAAAAAAAATATTATGATAAGTCAACCAGGAAAATGCATTCTATCCATTCTTAAAATGTAAAGCTCTTGCCAGCTTGCTGGTAGTTTTTTTGTTTTGTTTTGTTTTGTTTTGTTTTTTGCAGAACCGGGGATTGAACCAGGCCCTTGCACTTGCCAGAGAAGCGCTTATTCCACTGAGCCATCTCCCCGGCTCCTTTGCTGTTAGTTTTACTGGAACTCAGGCTTGACTATTACAGATCCTTTTAAGAGCATTCAGTGTGTGCTACAGCATCTGTGCAGTAAACCTAAGTGTCCAACAGCTAAAAACAGTTTAAGATAAAAAGACAAAAGCTTCAATAAGGAAAAAGAACCACAACATAATAGACAACAGGGTTGGGCTGGAGAGATGGCTCAGTGGTCTAAAGCACCTACTTAGAACAAGCTTAGCAAAAGCATCAGGGACCGTGTTCAATCCCCCAGCACCACATGCCAGCCAGCCCGCCCCCTGGTGGGCTGAGCTGGTCTCTCTCTCTCTCTCTCTCTCTCTCTCTCTCTCTCTCTCTCTCTCTCTCATAAATAAATAAATAAATAAAATTAAAAAAAAATAGACAACAGGGTCTTGGCATCTTCCATGGGAATTACATGCTAAGTCACACAGGGTCTGCATGAGGGAAGCATGAAGCCCTTGATATAAGTCACTTTATTTTTATGTATTTATTTTGTGGTACCAGGGATTGAACTTAGGCCCTTGCACTTGCCAGGCAAGCGCTTATTCCGCTGAGCTGTCTCCCTGGCCCTGAGTCACTGTACACAGGGAAGCTGGCAGATGTGCATGGGTCGTGGGGTAAGATGTTCTTCAACACTGCATCATACTTGATGCAGCTGTCTATAACAAGAAAGGAAAACTGAAACTGGATCTAGCAGAATCAGATCAGTGCCTCCCATTCCCACGCTGAGAGGGTGCTTTTCCACTTTATGGAGAGAAACAACTCTTTTTATTCCTGCATACCTATGATGCAGTCACATTAAATGTACATAAGCTATAAGTACCACCAAACTTCATAGGCAGCTCTCCTGGGGCATTAAGCAAGTTAACACACAAATCATTATGCCTAATCTAGTAATCATGGAGATTCTACACACAGCTGTACTTTGCTTAACAACTATGCTACCTTCTAAGAGTCGCTCATACATCACTGGTTGATTTCATTGTAATGTGAGCATCGCACAATATATACAAGTCTGTATGTAATAATCTACTACACACCTAAGCAATCCTTACTAGGTTAATTTGTACAGCAAACTACTGTAATGAATACCATAGGCAATTATAACACAGTAGTTCTGTATAACTAAGCAAACACATGAGTAATGTGTCACACTATGACCTCATGATGGCCATAAGTTCAAGGCCAGCCTGAAGTACACAGAAAGACCATGTCTCAAAAATTAAATAAAAACAAAGTAAAATACAGCCCTTGAGCTGCCCCTACATGAGCAACTTTACGCAGTATGTTCCTAGGTGGTGCCAAGTGATTTTCACAGACGAGCCGACAGGCCCGCTAAGGGGCAGGAAATCTGAAAGAACTGCCCAGCACAGGACTTAATGCGATGCTTCCAGTCGTGTACCCCAAAGGAAATTTTATTCTATCTTAAGAGAATCCACAATAAATCATGTTAACCAGGAAATCCACATTTTTATCATAAAATCTTATCTTTGTTAAAGTACACCCAGTAGTCCCCAATGAGAACAGAAGCTATGTTTTTTAACATACAAGTATAAAAATTAAATTACAATTCTTCTGTTCTGAGAGGGTACTAATTTAAGCTAACAGTTAAGTACAGGCTGGTGATACAGCTCAGTGGCAGAAGCATCTGCCAGCAAGGGCAAGGTCCTGAGTTCAATTTCTAGTACCAAAAAAAATAAAACAGTTAAGTTTAGATCTATAAAATTCGTCCAATTTACTCTTGTTAAAATTCGTTTTCGAATTTTAACATTTTTAAAATGTTTTTTAAAATTTGTTTTGAAGTTAAATGTGAAAGATCATAATTTAAACCAACAAATTATAAGTTTTAATATGAATTCACCCATAAATGCTTACATTGAGAAAAAAAGTTTTAAAATACCTTAACAGCTTTGAATTGCTTTGTATTTTCTCCAGCTGATCTATTTCTTTGGATAATCTACCAATTTCATCTTCCAGATGCCTTTCAGTAATATCAACTTGCTGGCATAGACGAGCAAAAGTGGTAGCCATTTCCCTTAAAATAAATTTTTAAAAAATAAGTCATGAATTCCTTCTAAAATTATTAAACTTCAATGTAAAACTATTAATAAAAAGAAAAATTCTGAACAAACTTGTATCATAAAGAAAGCACTGCTAAGACCAAGATGAGCGGGGGGCTAGCGCTGCTAACGCTAACTACTGTGAGCCGGCCTTCTTCTGCCTCAAGAGGCAGCACGATCTTGGCTAGATGGTTGTGAACACACAGTCAACTATGGAAAGGCAGCAGGGTATCTGTCCTGAGGAGCACAATAAGCGTTACTCTTCCCCTAGCTCATTAATATGAAATTAAGCCAGGTGTGGTGGTGGGAGGCTGAGGCAGGAGGATCCCTGTGAGTTGGAGAACAGCCTGGGATACCAAGTGAGCTCAAGGTCAGACTGAACTGTAGAGTGAGACACTGTCTCAAAATAACCCAAACAAACAAAAAAGAAATTAAGAAAAAAATTCTAGGAACTTTTGTGAAGTAAAAAAAATTTTTCAAAATCATGGCCAGATTTAAGCTTGTGTCACGAGATAAAAGCTTACATCAAATTCAGTGCTCATTAACATACGGGCTTTGGCAAACACAACGCGTGTACTGTGCACAGGAGCAGTGGGCCATGCGCACTGGGCTGGAACACAGCTACCTCGCGAACCTCTCCACCCGGCTGTTCTGCACACCCTCCTCTTTGCTGTGCCTTTTGTATCTCCATTTACTTCACTGCACCAAGCCTCAGGGTAGACAAGAGTATGTTTCATTCTTTAATATTTTACTAAATATTCAATTAACATTTACCTACTATATTTTAACTGAGTAGTTATGAAAGACTGCCTCTATGAGAAAGTAACATTCTGAAACATATGATTAACTTTTTATTTCCCATAAGCCCTAGCATAATTATCACAACAGGCAATGACTAAATGTTCAATAAGCAAAAGAATGGAAAGCTGCATTAACTTGTTTTCATTTACATGAATCTCAGCTCATTTCTTCTGGTGGCCCATATATCTTTACTAGAGAAAAGTCCTTCCTTAATACAAATAAAACTGGACTGGTGAGATGGCTCAGTGGTCTAAAGCACCTACTCAGAACAAGCTTAGCAAAACACAGGGACCGCGATTCAATCCCCCAGCACCACATGCCAGCCAGCCCCGCCCCCTGGTGGGCGGAGCTGGCCACACACACACACACATATATAAATAAAGTTCTTTTAAAAAATACAAATAAAACTATCATTTAAAATAAGAGTTCACAAGCTGTAGGGAGAAAGGAACCTTTCTCCACTGTTTGCGAGAGTATAAACAAGTACAACCACTGTGGAAATCAGAATACTTTTCCTCAAAAAAACTAGGACTAGAGGTGCCATTTTTCCCAGCTATTCCCCTGGAACATCTTCTTGAAAGAAGAAACATCATACCACAGCAATATATGTGCACCATGTTTATAGCAGCACTACTTCTAACAGCTTAATCTTGGAAACAACAAATGCCCATCAAGGAAAGGGTAAAGAAAGATGTATTTTTATACAATGGAGTACTACTCAGGCATAAAGAAAGATAAATTTGAGATTTTTATAGGTAAATGGATTCAACTTGTGACTACACTGATAGGTGAAATAAAGTATAGACACCCACTGCACTGGCTCCCTGGTGTGAGAAACTGAAGGCTAAGGTCCAAATACAATAGATGTTGTGAAATGGGAAGAAACTGTTCAAAAGGAAAGAACTAAGGTGGAGCAAAGGAAAAAAAGGACAAGACAGTTATACAGCTAGTTTCTCTTGGTTCACTGAAAAGGTTTGTGCTCACTTCTTTGAGAATTTCTTTGTGCCTGTATCTTATACTCTAAGTAACTACTTTCAAGATAACAGTACACAATGTATTAACCACCATTGTTCTCCTTATGTGATCTGAACATTTATTTTTTCCATAAACTAAAAAAATAAAAAGGGCTTAAAATAGATAATGGATGAATGGATAAGTTTCTGAAATCTGCAGTCTTCTTGCTTCTATTTTCTCCTAGCTATAACTACATTAGCTAAGGATGTCAGAAATAGTTTAACCTTTGTGTAATTCCTGTCTGCTTAGTCTCCATTCCAGACATCATATCAATGCAAAGTTATTTATTCTAGACATAAGTCATTTATAGCATCACTTCCAGAATTTCCAACGATCCAAACCCCAACCCCTGTATACACAGACAGGAACTGGTCTTTGTATAGGTTTATACTCAAATTACACAAGGTTTACACCCAGTACACATCTGCTGCCAAGTACGGTAATGAACGCCTGTAATCCTCCTGTTCTCGAGGTTGAGATAGGAGGACCCCCGAGAGTTTGAGGCCAGTCTGGGCTATACAGCTTAAGGCCAGCCTAAACCCTGTCTCTTCATTTTCCTAAATATATTCCTTTCCTTGCTACTTTGAGTTTTTTCTCTGCCTGATCTTCCTATTTAATACAATCAAATCTCCTATTTCCTCTAGGAAAGCTCTCCTGGTCCACTACACTCTATGCAGTAAGTAACTGCTTGAGCCCTACATTTCAAAGACACTTCATCTTCTATAATACCTGTCACTTTCACTCTGTATCATATTTATGCACATGCTACTATTGTCAGGCTCAATCCAAGTATGTCACTCCCAGCACCCAGCCTGTGTGCCAGCGGCAGCATTGTTCTCAGAGAAAACCCAGCTCAGCACTGGTGCTCTTGCCTTTGACAAACAGGATGTCTTAAAAAGAGATAAGATGGAAGACAGATCTTCCAAGCACCAGGACATCTGGAAATACCCAGACATTTACACGGGATGCCCCAAGGACTTTGACCACTGAGGCACCAGGCATTTAGAGAACTTTGATCGCTGATATTTACTGAGATCTTCACACCTAATGTCCTTTGCCTGCTTTCAGGCCCTGTGAAGAAGCCAGTATTGCCTACAGGTATCAAATCGTATGCCTCCTCCCCTTCACACCATTCACAGCTATCTCTTTCATGCAACTGCAATTTCCCTGAGCTTTCAAATATTTTATTCTCAAGTGTGTTCAAATAAAAAATACCGTGCCTTGACAATGTAATTTCACTAAACCAATAAAACAAGTATCTAAGATGTCTAAAAACAGAAATTAGGCAGACATAGGTATTTATTATAACAAAATCCTCTTGAAATATAAAAAATAGTGACTTTAGGTTGGTATCTTCGGACTACAATAGAAAATTAAGTTCATCATAAAGTCAAGAGTCTGGGACTAAGCCCACTTGTTAACTGCCAAAAATCCATTCCATCTTCAGTCTTCTAATTAAGAAGGCACAACTTCTCTACCTAAGGACAGAAATGTAAATGTGTAACAGGTCTGCTGACAAATTATCTTTTGAAAACCTGCCGGAATTCTTGGGCGTTCCTACATGCCAATTATAAAAAGTTCAACTCTAACTGACCAGGAGAATGGGGAAAGTAGCAGGAGAAGGCCGCGGGAGCTGTGCAGTTATTCTACTCCTTCACCTCAGTGCTGATTCGCAGTGTCCACTCTCTGCCACATGCCACACTTCAAAGATAAGTTTTTAAATAAAAGATACATCTTTCACTTACTGTTGCACTTGGTGACTGCAGTTTGCACTTGTGAAGCTAACAATCATCTGCAATTTTTCAGTTGCATAGTTGACAAACTGCTGCTTAAAGGCTCTCTCTTTGGCATGGGTGGTCCATGTTAGCCTTTCATAAAGATACAACGCTCCATACATGCTTAATGAAACAGATACGAGTTTCCAGCCTATAGTTTTCCAAATCTGTAAGATAAAGTCACAGTTTACTCTAAAAAGAAAAATACTAGCTGGGAATATATATATATCTCCATTTTCTAAAAATGTGTGTTTCTTCTCCATGAGAAAATATGAAGTTGGCTAGAAACCAATGACATAGAAAAGTGATCACACACACACAAAAAAATAAATTTCTGTGGGGCAGGGGAGATGGCTCAGTAGAATAAGTGCTTGCCTGGCAAGCGCAAGGGCCTTGGTTCAATCCCCGGATCCACCAAAAAAAAAAAAAAAAAAGAAAGAAATTTCTGTTGAATGACAATGGAATACCCTTCTCGGACAAAACTAAACAAAACAAGAGGATACAAATGAACAGCCATTTTGCAGCTGTATATTCAAAATAGGATAGGTATACAGCTACATTCTCTTAATTCAATGAATAAAAAGATATGTTCTAATAGTGTTTGTGGACAGGATATCATGCCTGCATCATTAATTATTGAAACTGTCCTACTAATTGGTTTTGAAACTGTCTCACTGCTATTTGTTCCTCAAAATTATTTTTTTAAAAAAGTGATCAGCACATAAATACCAGCAAAAACTTTTATAATTTGTCAGATTTGATAACCTGACTTAATGTATCTCAAAATTTTCAACAACTAAGAACTACTACTAAGGTGAGCATAACACACACCTATTACAATAACAGCATTTGGTGAGGGAGGCCGGATACATAGTTCACTTCAATACTAGTCTGGACAGAATAAGCAAGGCCTAGTCTTGGAAAGAAAAGAAAAACAGTACAATACAAAAACTAATCTTTCCTACTTTTAGACAGATTCTCTTTGTATTCAGACCCACCCTTAATGCTCCCCTTCTCTTCAGTGGTACGCAGGGCCTACGCATGGTAGGCAAGAAGTTCACCACAAAGCACAATTCCAGCCTCACTAGACCTTTTCTTTTACTGTAACACATAATTTTTTTGTGTGCTGTGGGCTGAAGTTACAGTTCAGTGGTAAGAGTGCCTGCTTACTCCAGGCATTGAGTTCAATCCCCAGTCATGAAAAAAAAAAAAAAAAACAGCACAAAACCCAGATGATGGATATATTTTTTGTGAAATTCTTTACTAATTTTAGCCTGCAGATTTTTATACTGCTTTATAGGTACTGAAAAGAGAAGAAAATACACTTTTCCATTCATGGTCTAACAGACATTTTTGTGACAATTTCAATTAGAGTGATGCATGACTGTAATCTCAATACTAATAGGCTGAGGCAGATCATAAGTTCAAGGTCAGCCTAGGTTACAGAGTGAGCTCAAGGATAGCCTAAACTATGTAAAGATCCTGTTTCAAAGAAACCAACCAAACAAAATCAGTTATAATAAAAATGTTTCTTACCACTCCTCCAACAACGATGATGCCCATAGAAGTCCTAGATGTAAGAGAAGCCAATCCTGTTATCAAGGTAACCATGAGTTCTTCCTGTGATGCATTGACTGGCGTTGCTGGATTAGTAGGAGCAGTGGGGGTTGAAGCTAAAGATCTAGGGAGCTAATAAATTTAGGCAGTAAAAAAGTATAGAGTCAAATAAGTGTGAGATAACACATTTCTAAATTATTTTTATTTCTTTTAAAACCAGAACAGCTAATGCATAAAAAATAGCTCTGAATAACACATCTAATACAATAATGTAAATAAACTGAAAATGAGTTTCTGTGACATGGACCAATGATATCATGCATAATGCATTTTCACAATATATCATGGGTCTACCTATATCAGTAACTCACAAGAGAAATTAAACTGCATTTTTAAAAAAATAGACTTTTAAATAGTTTGCACCTGCCTGACAAGCACAAGGTCCTGAGTTTGATCCCCAGTACCAAAAAAAAAAGGGTACATGAAAAATGTTCAAAATCATTACTCATTAGGGAAATGCAAATCAAAAGTATCAAGAGCTACCACTTCACTCCCACGAGAATGAAGGAAATAGGTGCAAATACGTGAGAAACTGGATGCTGCATATAATTCTGATAAGAATGTAAAATGGTGCAAATATTTTAGAAAAAAGCTCGGCAATTCCTCAGGAATATGAACTTCCACTTTCCTAGGAATTGTTACGGTCTGTATGTCCCCGCAAAGCCTCATACAGTCAAAGTCAGGCTCCTAAAATTTGTGATTGATTCATGGTCCAATATTGGGATTATGGGTATGAGTGCTACATGGTCCTGGGGTGGGCACCTGACACAATATAAGGGAAGGAAAGAGGCTTGCTCTCTCCTCCCCTTTCACTCTTGTTGCTGTGGCTGTCTACTGCAGCTATGAATCGCTGTCCCCTTGGTCATGCCATCCTGCCTTGAAACCGCTACATATGGACTAAAACATCCACAAATTAGATCTTTCCCTCCTGAACTTCGGGCTGCAGGTATTTTGTCTCAGCAATGAGAGTAAAGTCATGAAGATAGGAATGAAAACACATTCCTACAGGCAAATACATGTGCATGTTCACAGCAGCATTTTTCATACTGCCCCAAAGTACTACCAGTACTATCAACTGATGAATGAATAAATGTAAAGAGAAAGAGTGTGATCTGGTAGCACAACGCACATACCTGAAAGATGGGCTCTGATAATCCAAGTAGCACCCTCTGAGCATTTGTGGGGCCCAGAAATCGATGCACAAGGGCTGACCAGCCCAGGGAAAAACGAAATACAATATCTTCTTGAAAATCTGAGCATAACTTATGGCAATTTAGGTCATAACTAAGGTCAAACTTCTTACAAGGGATCAATGTATGAAGTTTATTCTGTATATCAGCTGGAAGTAATGGCTTCAAATTTTCTGGAAACAAAATTAATTACTATAAGAAATAATGATAAATAATGGTTGCCTTCTATAAAATATCCAAAGGAAAGTAAATCCTTTATCAACAAAGAAAAAAAACTACACATGACTTTGTTGACATAAGCATTACCAATAATTTCCTGCTGGGATTGAAGCATTGAGGCATTGACTTCACTGGTGCACCGATCAGCCAGATTTCTTCCCATACCATCTTCTATGTGTTTATTTAACTCCTGTTACCAACAATACATGTTAGCATTATTTTTTCTCCAAAGTATGTAGATTTTTAAGGACTTCTGAAATACAACAAACACTAAAATGATCTTAATTCCATCTAGAGGACAAGTTTTGGTTGTTTTTGTTTGCTCTGTAGTCCTGGAGACTGAACCCAGGCTCTCACAACTGTGTGCTGAACATGGCTCTCCCTAAACCACCCCTGCCACCCTCTCTATAGCACTATGTACAAGGCAAGTCACACGTATTACTAGTGCACGAGACTGCCAAAGTGACACAGAAATGGCCAAACCACAAATAATAAGACTTCAGAAGATAAGAAAACTGTCTCAGAGTGATTTTTTTTTTAAGAACACCTTAACTTACACTTTTATATACTTTCAATACACTTGGAGTAGGATGAAACTCAGAACAAAATTCATCAACCAAAACAGACAGCCGACAAATTTCATCTGTCATTGCACATGAAACCTGAAAATATTTAAAAGATTAAAGTTTAAATTTTTTTAAAGATTATGCATTATTAAAAAAATCAAACAGAAAAACTAATGTATAAGGGTTGACATTTATAGCATTAAAAATATTGTCATTTCCAGATGGTGATCATAAAGTTATTACCTTGTTTGCCACCTCCTCAGTAACCTCCTTGATTTTTTTCTTAACATCCAGTGTTAAAAGGTTCATTTGATTTCGAATAAAGTCCAGTCTATCGATTTGATCTTCTCTCTCTTCCATTGAATAAACCCTATTATGTAACCAAGAGTAATTAATACTCAAGAATATATCGCAGTCCCGAGGAAATTAAGCAAGTACATTTTTATGTACTCAACTATTTGCATGGCACAAGAAAAAAAAAATGTTTGCACTTCGACATCTGAAAGTATTCAATTATATTTATTTTGTTTATAAATACTTTATATAGCTAATTAGGTATGAACTACAGTTTCTGTTCCCACTTGGTACCTGATGCAGACAGGCTCAATGAATAGTCTAAGTCTCCAAGCACTTCACAAATACAAAAAGTCAAACTAGTACAGTGACTTCAGTTAATAAGCAAGTGTCTGCAAAAGGTACCCTGGCAAGCCAAATCCAGCCATGAGCCAGTTTCTGCTGAAGCTCTCAAGGGACACAGCTGCGCTCTTTCAGTTTTACACAGAAGGAACGTCTACGGCAACACAACTTCCTTACAAAAAGGCTCTATGTGGACACCACACTGCACTGAGGCTGAGAACAGGCTCAGGTCCACAGTCGTATGTTCTATGGGCTGGCATCTCCCTACTTTTGTACTTTATGTGTTTCTGAGATAGCACAAAAATCAAGCAACAGATGCAATTTAGGGACGGTATTCTGAGCAAACGTAAAAACATAAAATTTCAATTTTATCTACTCTTGGATTTAATCTTCAGTTCTGTTTCCTTGAACTGGCTTAAGTCTACCAAAGATCCAAGTGAGGTATAACATCATGAGCTGTTATCAATTTAGTGATGCCTTTATTTTTATGTCTAGTACACCAAGTTTATTAGAACTGATTTTCCTCAGTACTGCCATGTATTCATTTCCAACTTAAAAAACAAAACAAAACAAAACAAACAAAAAAAAAAAAAAAACAGGTCATGGATGGACTACATCAAAAGGATCACCTGATTTGGAATTTCTTCAGAAAAATTCTGCTAGAAGCAATGGTTCTTCCATTGTTTTAAAGACATTTTATACTCACTAAACATTTTTAAATCAAAACTTATGCACAGGAATACTGAGATTTATAAAATGTAAATGATGAGTTAATAGTTACAGGATAAATATTTGTACTTTCAAATATTCATTGAATGATACTCAAGTAGACAGCAGTTAAGTTGCAGAACTTATTTTAGTAGAAAAGTACTTACAGTACAACTTAAAACCATAGGGTTAATACTCTGACACAAAACAACATTTTCGTGTTGCAATAAAGAGAACTCATACCTTGTTTCTGCTGCTGCCACGTTTATTGAATCCACTATGTTTTTCACAGTGTCTAGTATCTGCTTAGCTCTGACAGTGTGCTGTTCAAACTTTGTTTTCACTGCTGACTGCGAGATACACTCCTGCGAGGGGCCCAAGCCATAACACATTACTGTAATTCCATCCCAACATTTTCAGGAATTTAAACACAAAAACTTGCTGATTATAACTTAAACCAAATAGAAATAAAAATAGGAAAAGAAAAAAGCACAGTATGCACAACTTATAATTAGATTTAAAAAATGAAAAGTAAAAGGAGTTTTAACAGCAAGTTTGTATCTTTTTGTGTTTTTTGCACAGTAATGTGGAATGGGGCTTAACTATAACATTTAAAAATAAATAAATGGCACTATATTCAATGTTAAAAGGTTTCTCTATTATAAATACCCTTTCTTTTTTTCTTTTTTTTTTTTTTTGGCGGGAATGGGGATTTAACTCAGGCCCATGCACTTGCCAGGGAAGTGCTTATTCCACTGAGCCATCTCCCTGGCACTATAAATACCTATTTTAATTAATTTATTTTTTTATCTTTGTACCAGAAATTGAACTTAGGACCTTGCACTTGTCAGGCAGGCGCTGTGCTGCTGAGTTATATACATCCTGCCCTCCAATCACTTTTGAGCCAATTTGAGTTCATTTATTTTTCTCATACTCATAACACACAACCTAATAAAGCTCTTCACTCAGTTGAGAATAAGAATTTCTATTAAGAAAATCAGCTAAATAATGATTCATGTAACACTACTAAAACAGCTTTCTATAGATTAGTGTGACAACTTTAAAAGTAATCTTTAGCAACCAACAACCTAAATATTTAAAATAACTTATAGAAAAACACCTACAATCATTTTAAAGATCATCCTCCTTCATTATTAGACTACTGGAGATATACACAGGCTGGATAATGCCCTACCTGCTCTGCTTCGCCTGCAGATAACCGCAGATCACAACTCATCAATAGTACAAATCAATTATGCATTTCATAACCAGTGTTTTAATAGACTACATCAGAATATACAGCATATGGTAACATTTATTTTGTAAAATTTTTCAACTTTCAACATATTTTATACTATTTGGAGTATTTCTGGAGAGAGGGCCTTTCTATATGCCCTGGCCTTGAGCTCACTATGTAGTCCAGGCTGGCCACAAATTTATGGTGATCCTCCTGCCTCAGCCTCCCAAGTAGTTGGATCACAGGCATGTGCCACCAGGCTGAGCTTACAGTACTATCTGTTATCTAAATATTTTTTTCCCATGATTCACCAAAGTTCACAGAACTGTTACTTTATTTTTCTGTGATTTACTTCACAGAAAAATAAATTGTGCACTAGCAAAACATTTAAAAACAAGTGTTTACAGAGAAATGCTATCCAGCCTGAACTACCTATGAAATGCCAGGCAGGTCACATCAACATCAAGCTATACTCAAATCTCCTGTTCTGACTCTATTTTCTTAAAACTCTTCGTTATTTATATCATAAAAACTGTTAAATGCTGAAGCTTATCACCATCCCTCTGTTGTCAAGAAGGTAACATTAAGGCTTTAAAAGGTACTCACTTAATTCTCTAGTTATCCTGAAGTCATTACGTAGCACGTTACTTGCTCACTAACTACTACTTAAACTGATACTTAAATTTCTGTCTCTAAAATTATTTGTGCACCTCACTCAGGGATCTTTTGACCTGTCAGCTCTCCTCTTTAGCATCTTGTTTAAGGTACAGAAAACAAAATTTCTTTAGGTACAGGACACAGAAGGGTAACGCATTTAGTCGACAGCCTATAAAGAGAGCTTCACTTCTGCCCATGGGACATGTGCTTATGCGGCACTCACTGGCACGGACCTTCAAAGGAGTGGTGGTGGGAAGCCGCGGTCTGCCTGCGCTGTACAAGCCTAAGGCACACACTGAACATTCCAGCATGTTTCCTTCTTTGAGACCACCAGTAGTCACCACCCAATAAACATTTGAGCTATAAACTACTTATCTTCTAATAAGCAAAACATAGCTTTGATTATATTTTAAATAACTGTGCCTCATAAAAGTGTCAAATTAATTTCACAAAATAATAAAAACAAAAATAATTTTAAAAGACAAAAGGTTAAAAGAAACTCTGATCCTCGATGAAGTAGATCTAGAAATCAGCAATGAAGATTCAAATTCACTTGTAACAGCACAATGTTAGAGCTAGACTTGACAGAAATGAAAAGATCTCCAAAAGTTATTAGACAATGTTAATCTTGTTACAAAAACATATAATGATGAATGAACATAAAGACAATCTTTTTCTAAATAAACACTATTATACATTAATTAGCATTCCCATTCATCTGCAAGAGAATAAAAGAGAGCAGGGAAGAGCCCCTACACACTAATAGGCCATTTCCATGGGAACACACAGTATACAACATTCCCATATCTATTTTATTAGAAACTAATTTTCAGAGGAATTTAAGATACTATAGGGAAAACAATTAAATTTCCATCATGTCAGTGTGGTCTGTAGGCCACATTAAAACCTTATTAAACTGGGGCCGGGGAGATGGCTCAGTGGAATAAGCGCTTGCCTGGCAAGCCCAAGGCCCTGAGTTCAATCCCCAGTTCCGCCAAAAAAAAAAATAATAATAATAAAACCTTATTAATGACTGTGAACCAATTTGCAGTAAGGGCAACCCAATTATGATAGTTTTTTTTTTTTTTTTTTTTTTTTTTACTTTCTAATAATATCTAGAATACTGGAGGTGGAGGTACGAAATCACCGTGCAGCACTGTGGCTTTCGTCACAACCACGGACACAAGCCTTAAATGTGCCATTAACGCTTCCGGCCAAAGTATCCAAAACTTCGAGGAATGAAGTTTAAAGCACTGCCCCTGCCCCACCCTCTGGGGGCTTGTTACAGAGAGACGAAAGGCAGCCCAGGGCCAGGCTAATCCCGGAGCAAGCGTGGGTGGACCAATACCGATATATATTAGCCAGATGTATCAAATGCTAATATTCAACCTCATTTTAAAGAGAATAAAATAATAAAAGCATTAGAAATGATACAGAATTTCAAAAAATATATATAAATTCAACAATGGTTGTTATATTGCACACTGTTGTCTTCAAAGTAGTTCAGATTACCAGATATAAGCATTAAAAAAAACCCAAAAAACTAAGTATTAACTGTTGCTTTCAATAAGCCATTCATTTTGTTGTGTTTTGACTTTGGTTTCTGAGACAGGGTCTCCCTGTGTATCCCAGGCTGGTTACAAACTCACAGAGATCTTCCTGCCTCAGCTTCCAGAGTACTAGGATGAGAGGTATGCACCCCCAAACCCAGCTTCAGCCTCATTTGTTTACCTCTCACATTCTCTCACTACACACTCATGTACACAATACACACACACACGCACACACACACACATACAGGTATACATAAAAGAATGATTGAAAATACAGTGAATATTTAATTCTTAAACTTATTACAATAAAAGATACAAGGCTTAGAACAATTGAATAAGCACATTCAAAATGCAGCACAGTATTCTGAGTATTTTAAGGAAGATTACTGGCAATGTGTCTTTTCTTGCCAATTTTAAAAATTTAAATATTTGCCATATTTATTCATACATATGTATAAATCTGTGTGTATATACATACCCACACATATTATGTATGCACATATGCACACAACGCATGTTTTAAAGAGCTAGGATCTTACTAAGTTGCCCAGGTTGGCCTTGAACTTGGGCTAAGCAACTTTTACCATGGAGCCAATACTACTACTTACCAAGTCCACACCTGAATTTCACCAAGCATCCCAAAACTGCCTTTACAACAATCCAATGATATTTTAGAAGTAACTCTATACCTCCCTCCAATCATATAACCAAAACTATTAAAAACAGATGAGAAACATTTGAGCAAGAAAATCTGAACTTCAGGCTGGTAAGATAGCTCAGCAAACTAAGTGCCTGCTTAGGTAAGTGCAAGGACCTGGGGTTCGATGCAGCCCCGCCCCCGGGCACACTGAACTGGCCACCGAGTCTGAGTGTGGTGGCACCTGCCTGTAATCCCAGCACTGGGAAGGCTGAAAACAGGAGGAGCACTACAAGTTGGAGCTGTATAGTGAGACCCTGCACCAAATACATTAAAAAAAGAAAAAAAAGAAAAGAAAATTTGGATTTCTAACTTGCCTTTCCAATAATGTCTATCTACAAATGTAGACTAAAAAAACCAGAAAATCTGGATATGGCAGTTACATATCTGTGATCTCAGTGCTCAGGAGGCTGAAGCAGGAGGGTCACTGCGAGTTCTAAGCCATCCTGGGCTACAAAGTGGGTGCAAGGCCAGTCTGAGCTGCATGGCAAGACCAGCTCAAAAAGACAAAAAATAAGAGACTTTAATTTTTTTTTTCTTTTAATCTTTTGAGACAGGGTCTTACTATACATTCTAGGCTGATCTTGAACTCTCTATATATCCTCTCCAGGCTAGCCTCAAACCCATGAGAATCTTCCTGCCATACTATATATAGGCATGCCTCACCATGCCTGAGAAACTTTTTGAAAGGGCTGGGGATCTAGCTCAGGGCAAAAGTCCTGGGGCTCAATTCCTACTCTCTACACACACACACACACACACACACACACACACACACGAATCAGTAACACTGATTTCTTGATTGCTTTTACTCTATTTAACTTCAAGTCTTGAGGTGGGAATAAACTCAGAAACAGAGCACTTGCCTACTATGCACAGAGCATAGTGCATAGAGCATAGTGTGGGGCTGAGTACACAGAATCACAAGAAAAAAACTTCTAAGTCTTATTTAACTTGGTACTCTAATAAGTGTTCCAAATACTTAGTTCCTTTCAAACTGAATCTGAGGCCAGCCATGGCAAAGATCAGCTGGTTAAGATAATTTGGTACAAAGGTTTTTTTCTATAAAAATCATTTTATAAGAATACACAGAAAAATTAATTCCAAAATAAGGAGAGAATGAGTATAAATGTCACAACACAAAGCAACTAAGAAATAACCAAGAGTTGGACAAAAAGAATCAGAACAAATTTTAACTTTTCTCAGAAAAATGCCAAAAATCATATTTAAACACTATTAAGAAAAAAAACTAAAAACTAAAAAAAAAGAAAGGGAGAAAATTTATACTAGATACTGAAACCCTTAGGATACAACCAAAACTACATTCATAAACTCACAACCCTAAATCCTTTTTAAAATAGAAAAAATCAATTTTACACCATGTGAAAGATTAGTGAATAATCCTAACGCATCCATTTTTTTTCTTTTTTAAAAAATTTATTTAGTACAGGATCTATAGCATCTCACTACACAGATCAGACTCATAGTGATCCTTCCTGTTTTTTAGCCTCACACACACTGGGATTACAGGCACATACCACCATGCCCAGTCTCATTCGCTGTCTCAGCGCCCCACAAGGGCAGAAATGCATCAATCTAAGAAATCATAAATTACCAAGACTGATGTAAGAAAAAAACTTCAGCTTTCTGAAGGGAAGAAAAAAACATGATCTGGTCATCAAAAATGTTTTGGCCCTTTATAACACATGCAGTCGTCTTTACCCCACTCATGGTCTTTCTTCTCTCATAAGCTTAAAGATGAGATGACAGCAAGTTTCTACTTTAAAAATATCTACCAGGCTGGGGATATAGCTCAGTAATTGAGGGCTTGCCTAGCAAGCATGAAGCCCTATGTTCAATTTCTAGAATCTTTTTTTTTTAATTCTTAGAATCTTTAAAAAAAAAAAAAAAAAAGCCTACTAAGTATACTCAATGTTCATGTCCCTCTTATTAAAGCTGTTACTACCTATAAGCAGAAATAATTACAAATAAATTTTTTTCTAATTATGAGGTCTGAGTTCATTAACAGGAAGGTGGTATGAAGTCTGAGCAGAACTACAGTCTCGAAGGTTAATATTTGAAGAACTTTTCAGTCAAATGCAGGATGATTCCTAGTGGCTCTGAATCATCAATGATACTCTGTAACACAGCAAACTATCCACTCTCCCAGTGCCACACATACAGCAGTCATTTCAGTATCTGAAAGTATTACCGAGCTGTAAAAAAAATGAAAAGTACTATGGAGCTCTATCTTACTTTCATATTCACTCTGTCAATCACAGTTGGCACCAAATCAGGAGGGCTAACAAGAGGCAATACAGTTTAGAAATGTAATAAAATGTTGAGCGCCATTAGCCATGTTCTATTTATCTCAATGTGCATAATACAAAGGAAAGATCATGTTTGCTTTGCTCTATGATCTCTTCCGACAGCAGTTTGTCATGTTCTTGCACCAAATTACCAAATTCTAAGGCTTTTATTCACTGTACAAGACAAGCAATAATGAAAACCAGTTTCTTATTTATACATACATAAGAAAAGAAATAATCTTTAATTCTCAATTCTTACAGATCATCCACTTTGCAGAAGCTTCCTTTCTTCAACCTTCCCTTGTTTCACTTGCTGTGTCAGTAACTACACTAAATAACAGCAGAGATTATTGACAAAGACAGACAGTGAAAATGAAGATTACAATTGCTCTCCAACCAATGAACGTATTTTGTATTAGCCAATACATTCAGGAAATTCCTACCTCAAAAATTTGTTCAAAATTCTGAAACTCCTGCAACCTTGCCTGAAATCCTTCAGCAAGTGCCGCACCTGTAAGACAGGCCAAAGTTTTAAATGTAATATTACTGAGTTGTCTCCCCTTATCCTTGAGGGATATGTTCCAGGATCCCTCACGGAAGCCTTGACAGTAGATGGTATGGATCCACATACACAGTAAATCTTTTCCTACATATATACACACAAATGTAATCCCATTAACACCTTAAATAAGCATTTATCATGTACTGTGGCCATCAATTCTGAAATTAGAGGTGTGACTACAAAAACTAGTATAATGTTTTTCGTTGTAATTTTCACAGAGAAGATATATTCATAGATCTCTGTGACCTGAACATATAGTTTTTCTTTTTTCTTTTCTTTTTTTTTTTTTTTTTTTTTAGGAACCAGGGATTGAATTCAGCCCCTTGCCCTTGCCAGGCAAGTGCTTATTCTACTGAGCTATCTCCCTGGCCCTATTTTTTCTTTAGAGTGAGGCATTTTTATCTTTTCACTTACAGCACACTTAGCAGTTTCCCTGGGCCAGCCAGATTGCTGAGTGGACTAAAAGGCAGAGCACAGCAACTGGGGTTCAATCCCCGGTGTGTCATGCAGGCCCTGCCCCCGGGGTGTGCTGAGATGGCAATTAAGACTTGGCGCGGTGGTACGAGCCTGTAATTCCAATACTTGGGGGACTGAAAAACAGGAGGATCACAAGTCCAATCTGTGTAGTGAGACCCTGTAGACCCTGCACTAAATACATTTACAAAAGGAAAAAGAACAGCAGCTTCCTTTTGGCATGTCTGAACTGTCAGCATCAGTAAGCTCTCCTGTTCTTTGGGTCACTGTAAAACAGAATAAGGATTACTTGTACACAAGCACCACATAACAGTGCCAGCCCTCTGCCTAAGATGTCTGTGTAGTGAGGACAGTATGGATGTACCGGACAAAAGAATGAATTCCCATCACCTGGAATAACAAGAGATTTCTTCACACTACTCAGAATAGTGAGTTTAAAACTTATGAATTCTTTCTTTTTTTTTAAGAATACAATGTTTTTATTCACTAATGAACTGAAAGCCCATTTCTGGATGTTTCTTTCTCACATATACTTCACTTATTTTAGGAAAAAGCAAAGTCCTATAAACGGCAACCAGATTCTGACTCTGAGCCATCTTCATCTTGACTAATCTGGAAGCACTGGAGTTCGTTTGTAAGTCTCTTTGTCAGATGCAACCACACAAAGCCAATCACAAAGATTATTCTTTTTAAAATACTTCCTGGTAAGATATTTCAAACACCTTTTGGAGAACTGTTTGTCGGAAACAACTGTGATCTTATTTATGAACTGTTCAATGAGAACAACATTCCCAAGGTTTCCAGTTTTTCCATTGACTTTAAACTTCTCCCTCAGAAACTGTTCAAAATTTCCAGAATCAAAAACTCCATCTTCGGAGCCAGGGAGATGGCTCAGTAGAATAAGCACTTCCTTGGCAAGTGCAAACACAAGGGCCTAAGTTCAATCCCTGGTTCTGGAAAAAAAAAAAAAAAAAAACCCTCCATCTTCTACTGGATGGGTAAGGTCCAAATTAAACTTCCAGGTTGACCTCTGAAGGTTCTTGTCTTTCTGCAATGCCATCTTGACAGAAAGGGGACAATCAGAACGCTGAATTGTTTATTTCTGCTATTTTCCATTTAATGTTTCCATACCATTGTTTAACACTGGTTAGTAAAACCACAGACAGGGTGGGGGCTTTCTTATATACAGCAATATAAGATTTCTGGCATGCTACTGTTTTTATACCCTAAATTTGTATTTTTAAAAAAACCTGTAATACATACCACCTTCTGGCATCCCTTGTATTTTATGTTTTCTAGCACTAAGAACCTCCTTTGCTGAGACAAAGAAGATACGATTCCGTGCTTCTAGAGGGTCCACAACTTTAAGCTCCTCCACCAAGAAATGCATACATCTTTCCATGTGTTGTCTGCGTACCTGCAAAAAACATTAAAAGAATTTTAAAACTGTAAGCTACTGTATAAGTCACCAACCTGTATTGAATATTTTTTTTTTTTCAGAACCAGGGTGTATTGAATTTTTTCATAGTGACAGTACCATAATAATTGCCACGTACTTATTGAAAACAGAAAATTTTAATAGCCCTTGATACTTGCTGACAGGAAACTTCCTTCTCTTAATGATCTTCCTTTTTCTCTTAATGATCTTGCTTAAAACTGATGGAACATCAAATACTACACAACTATTACAAAGCACTGCAGACAAATATTAATTCTTAATATTTAGGTTAGGGAAAATAGAGAACAGGCTCTCAATTATGTATTAGGGGTGTACCTGATTAATGTGTGTATATGTATAAGATTAATAGTGGCAGGCAGGCAGCACCCATAAAAATGGGTGGTGCTTTTATTTCTCCCTTATGCTTTCCTACTTTCTATATTTTCTGCAATTAATCTTTTAACACTTTTGAAGTCAATTAAGCACTACAATAACTTTGCTAAAATGAAGCTATTTTTATTTTGAAATCAAAACATTAATGGTACGCTTCTGTTCTAATGAACACTGGGAATCAAAAGTCCTCAACAAGATACTTACAAACAATGCAACAAACAATATATGCAATACACCACATAAACAGAAAAACAAAAATCAATGAAGAAGCCTTTGGCAGTATCCAATATTCCAACATGATAAAACCCTTGGCAAAAACACATATAGAAAGATCTCACCTCAAACAAACAGGAATAAATGGGGGCCGGGGAGATGGCTTAGAGGATTAAGCGCTTCCCTGGCAAGCGCAAGAGCCTGAGTTCAATCCCCAGTTCCGCCAAAAAAGAAAAAAAAGAAAAAACAAATAGACATAAATGACAAATCCACTGCCAGTATTATACTAAGTAGGGAAAAACTCAGGAAATGTTTGTCTTATATCACAAACATATAAAAGTTAAAGTAAATAAATAGGAAAAAACGAAAAGCATCCACTCTAACATCAACAAGGATAAAGACTCTCACCACTCAGGTTCAACACAGTGCTATTCAAAAATTTAACCAGAACAATTACGTAAGAGAAAGAAAAAAGATACAAGTAGGAAAAGAAGAAATCAAGCAATCCTTATTCACAGATGACATTATCCTCATAAAAACTCTACCAGAAGCTTTAGAATAAACAAAGTCAGCAAAGTTTCAGGATACAAAATCAACACAAAAATCAACAGAATCCTACACATCAACAATAAACCCACAGAGGGGCTGGTGAGATGGCTCAGTGGTCTAAAGCACCTACTTAGAACAAGCTTAGCAAAGCACAGGGACCACAGTTCAATCCCCAGCACCACATATCAGCCAGCCCCGCCTCCTGGTGGGCTGAGCTGGCCACACACACACAAATAAAAAAAATTAAAAAAAAAAAAACAATAAACCCACAGAAAAATGAACCATGAAAACAATTCTATATAGTAGCTTCAAACAAATAACTAGTAATTAACCAAGTAATTGAAAAACCTCTAGAATGCAAACTATAGTACTCTGAAGAAAAGATTAAAGAGGACATTAGAAAATGAAAAGACATCTCATTCCTCATAGGTAGAACTATAATAATGTCAAAATGGATACATTACAAAAAATGCTATATAGATATACTATAATTCCAATCAAAATACCAATAGCACTCATCAAGCAACTAGAAAAAAATAAACATAAAATTTAGACAGAACCAGAGGAAAACTAAAATAACCAAAGAAATCCTGAGCAAAAAGACCAAAGCAGGAGGCATCACAATCCCAAATTTCAAATCATACCACAAAGCTACAGTAATAAAAACATCATAGTACTAGAACAAAAACAGATACTACTACCAACTCAACATAATTAAGTATGCAGAAACAACCCCAGGCAACTCCAGTTATCTAATTATTGACAATGGGACCAAAAATACATACCGGAGAAAATATACCTCCTTAACAAATGGTGCTGGGAAAACTTTGTTACCCATCCACTGAGATACCACCTTAACATAAGATGGCTGTTTGCTAAGGACTCAAAAGAAATAATAAATGCTGCCTAGATGGAGGAGAGGACAACATTCCCTTGTTGGTGGGAATGGAAACTAATATAACCATTGTGGAAATCAGTATGCAGATTCCTCAAAAAACTAAAAGTTCCATTTGACCTAGCTGGTCTTCTGGGTATCTTTTAGAAAAAATTATGGGCAAGGAGAAAAGCTGAGAAACATGACAGGGGTAAAGCCATGCATTTGTACGCATGAGATGGGTGGGGCAGTGATCCTGGGGGACATCAGCAGGTTTTTGAGACTAGCGGTTGGCTGGTGGGATTCTCACCCTGACTAACTCTATATGCTGGTGCCTGTGAGCCAGGCGGCTGCACTGAGGATGGCAATGTGTAATAGAGGGGTCACGCTTGGAGTGCCTGCCATCCTGGTCTTCTAAATATGTACTTCTTGTCATGACATACCATTTATTGCCATAATGTCTCTCAAGTAAAGTTTTTCTTTTTAAAGGGTAATAAAATAAGTAAATAAATAAAATTTAAAAAAGACTATTCACTTAAGAGCCAGGGAGATGGCTCAGTGGAATAAGCACTTTCCTGGCAAGCACAAGGACCTTTTGTTTTGTCTTGAGACGGAGTTTGGGCCAGGGAGATGGCTCAGTAGAATAAGCACTTGCCTGGCAAGTGCAAGGGCCTGAGTTCAATCCCCGGTTCCGCCAAAGACAAAAAAACAAAAAAACAGTTTCACTATGTAGTTCAGGCTGTCCTTGAGCTTATTTTGTAGCCCAGGCTGAGCTCAGACTCATAACCATCCTCCTACTTCAGCCTCACCAGTGCTGGGATCATAGGTGTGCGCCACCACATCTGGCAAACTTTTTAATATGATGTTGATTCTTTGTACTATTTCCTGTGTAATTGGGGTTTTGTCCATAAATTATTTGCATACACTTAAGTCTTCAAAAGTTTTACCTATCCTATCGTCCAGCACTTTAAGAGTTTCTATTTTAATGCTTTGTTTTGTTTTGTTTTTTGAGACAGGGTCTCACTATGCAGTTCAGGCTGGCCTTGAGCTCACTTTGTAGTCCAGGCTGGTCTTGAACTCCCAAGGATCCTTCTGCCTCAGCCTCCTGAAGTGCTGGGATTACAGGTGTGTGGCCTCCACACCCAGCATTGCCATTGACATTTGAGTGTTGACTTTGTATCCTGTTACACTACTGAATTTGGATATTAAACCTAGCAGTCTTTTAGTGGAGTTTTTGGGATCTTCTATGTAGAGTATGTCTTCTGCAAAAATGATATTTTAACATTACTTTCCTGTCCTTATTTCTTTCTCTTGTCTAACTGCTCTGTTTCCAGAACAGCATTGAGTAAGAGTGGTGAGAATGAACATCTTTGTCTTTTCCTGATTTAGAATGAAAAATTTAAGCTTTTTTGACTATATTGTATGTTCGCTCTTGGATTGTCATAGATGGCTTTTATCAGATTGAGATAAAGACCTTCCAACTTAAAAAAAAAGAAAAAAGAAAAAGTTAAACTCATATTACAGTGACACCCAAGTTCACAGCAGTAGAATTCACACTAACTGGATTATGGAAGTAGTCTATATACCTACAGACCCATAGAATGTGGTAAATTGTATATAAACAGAATACTATTCAGTTATAAAAAATAAAGCTGAGTCAGGCATGGTGATGCACATCTGTAAATTCAGCATTTGAGAAGCTGAGGCAGGAAGACTGCAGGGAATCTGAGGCCAGCCTAGACTATGTAGTGAGTTTAAGGCTGGCCTGAACTATTGCAAGATCCTGTTTCAAAAAAAAGTTGAGTCATTTGTAAGACAATTGTTGGAGCTTGAGACCACCATGCTAAGTGAAATAAGCTAAAGACACAAGCTTAAATAGTGCATGGTTTCTCTTATGTGAGAAACCCACAATATAAATATTTTAAAGAACAAAATAGGAAACTGCCCCATGGCATTGGCCCTTGGCCAACAATAACATACATATATTCTAGGCTCTGGCACAGCCGCTCACCAACTCCACATGTACCCTGCAATTGGTTTCTCCTCAGCATGGGGCAGCGGAGCCACTGACCAGCCAGGTGGCCTGAGGCTAACACCCAGGGAGAGAAGATAAGCCCCTAGAGCCAGCAGCTCCTGGGAGAAATAACAGACCAGGCCAGCAGTGTTAGTCCCAAGGCAAGTCGACAGCTTCTGTAAGTTACAAAAACAGCATGGGGTTTGGATGCAAAAGTTACTCCTTCACACTAGGCTACACTTGGAGAAGAAAACCACTACTGCACCTGTCACACTACCAGAGTGTATGCTCAGATATTGTTTGGGAAGGGGTTAACTGCCTAAGAATGAGCCGCAGAACATTACAAAATAACTCCTGTCCAGGGTTTTCAGTGACTGGCTGAGAACCCCAGCAGAATGCCACAGTGAGAGTCCTGGGTGGGCACAATTCCACTGACACGTTCATGCTCAGGCTAGAAGGACATGGTCCCCTGCCCTCTATGTGAGAAACCAGGCCTTGACAATGTGGCTTTCAGGGGCAGTTGGATCTGCAAGAGCTGGCATTAGGTGGCAGTCTGCCTGAACACCCAGCCACTTCCTAAAAACAAGCAGAGCCCAGGGGTCCAACTGCTTTCTGCCTACCAACATGGACAAAGACTCAGAACAGCTTAGACAGCTGCTAGTCTGGGGCCCATGGACCAAGGAGCACATGGAGCAGCAGGAGCGCCTCACAAACCCACAGGCTGTAAAGCTAAGTGAAAAAAATCACGACCTGCTGGTTCCAAGACTTCAGATCCTGGAAAGAAACCACTTATTCAAAAGCAAAAATGTTGTTTCAGCTCAACTTGGTTTTTTCCTCTTTTCCCTTCACTGGTTTTGGGGAATTTGGGTTTTCATGACCTTTTCTTTCATTTTATTTTTTTCCCTTTCTTCTGTTGACTTATTCTTTTTTGTTGTTGAATCAGCCCTTTGTCCACTGATTAATTTTTCAGATTTTATTCTTTTCATTCTCTAATTCTTTATCCCCTTTCTTATTAGTCTAACCACTAAGTTCTACAAACCTTTAGACAGTAAGTGCTATACTATCACTGTTAAATACTGCTCTATTTTTAGTGGAGGTATACTTGTAGCATTATTCATAGTAGGTATTTGTTTTAGGTCAATATTTGGTTTCTTTTAGTCTTTTTTTTTTAATTTATTTATTTTTACATTTATTTATTGTGTGTGTGTGTGTGTGTGTGTGTGTGTGGCCAGCTCAGCCCACCAGGGGGCGGGGCTGGCTGGCATGTGGTGCTGGGGGATTGAACCGCGGTCCCTGTGCCTTGCCAAGCTTGTTCTAAGTAGGTGCTTTAGACCACTGAGCCATCCTCCCAGCCCCTCTTTTAGTCTTTATACTATAATTACAGTTCTTTTATAGTTAAGGGTGATACACTACTGCTTCTAAAAAAGAATGCTGAACTGTCAGAAAAAAACTTTTTTTCTCCTTTTCTTGTCTTTTTGAAACAGGATTTCAATATGCAGTACAGGCCAGCCTTGAGCTCACTTCGTAGCCCAGGCTGGCCTTGAACTCACAACAATCCACCTGCCTCAGCCTCCAGAGTGCTCGGATTACAGGCATGTGACACCACCCTGGCAGAAAACACAATTTTTTCCTTTTTTAATGTATTTTGTTGTTACAGGGTCTCACTATGTAGGTTGGACTAGTAGTGATCCTCCTGTTTTGAGCCTCCCCAGCACTGGGATTACAGGCGTGTACCACCATGACTGGACTTGGGGCCAGCTCAGCGTGCCTGGGGGCAGGACCAGCTTGGCATTTTATGCCAGGGATCAAACCCTGGTCCCTGTGCTTGTCAAAGCAGGCACTTAGTCCACTGAGTTATCTCACTGGCCCTCAGAAAAAACAATTTGTAGGTATTTCATAAATACAATTCAACAATTAAGTGAGACCCCAATTTATTTATTTATGAAGCAGCACCAGGAATCAAACTAAGGACCTTGGTGCTTGACAGGCAGGCATTGTGCCACTGAGCCATAGCTCCAGCCTAAAACCCCAATTTAAAGAATATCATTACAAAATAAACAGCAGAATATTAACTTTACATTAAGCAATGGGGAAATTATGTAACATACAAATAGGAGAGGGTTTTTATAGCATCTGTTTTCTAAATTTCCTACAATAAACTCATACTACTATAAAAATCAAAAAAAGGATAATCAAGCAAATTAAATAGTTAACCTTATAGACCAAATGCCACAATTAAAAAAAAGTATTACCAGGGCTGGGGAGATGGCTCAGTGGAATAAGCACTTCCCTAGCAAGTGCAAGGGTGTGAGTTCAATCCCCAGTTCCACCAAAAAAAAAAAAAAAAGAACTTGGCTCAGTGGAATAAGCACTTCCCTAAAAAAAGTATTACCAAGGCATAACTTACCTGGACTGCTTCAAGTGCTGGTGGAAATACATGATCATAACAAGCACTCTTACATAACTCTGGGGCTATCTGTACTAAAACTGCACATACAAACTTCTACGCACACACTCACCTTGTGAGTATGCACTACAGGTGCACAGAGAGGCAGGTATAAGCATAAGTGGTTGTTGGTTTTTTTTCTTTTCTGAACCAGGATTGAACTCAGGCCCTTACGCTTGCCAGGGAAGTGCTTATTCCACTGAGCCATCTCCCTGGCCCCAGGTTATTTTTTTTTTTAACATGTTGCACTTTGCTAATTTTCAAATAAAGCGCATGCACGCACGCACACACACACACACACACACACATCAGGTATTTTGCCATATAATCTTTTTTTTCTTTTTTCCTTTTTGAGACAAGGTCTCACTATGCAGCTCAGGCTGGCCTTGACCTCACTTTGTAGCCCAGGCTGGTCTCAAACTCACAATGATCCTCCTGCCTCAGCTTGTCCAGTGCTTGGATTACAAGTGTGTGCTACCATGCCTGGCCATATAATTTTTCATATGCAGGTTTTATTCTCTTCTCCATTAAGCATTAAAGGCTCTAGTGTCATTTATGAAACCTAATTCTGTTGTCGTCTCATTTTATTCTGAAAATAAGATATGTCAACTTATTTTATTTTACTTTCATTGTCTTTCTGAGACAGGGTTTCATTACACAGTTTAGGCTAGCCTTGAACTCACTTTGTAGGCCAGGCTGGCCTCAGACTCACAGCAATCCACCTGCCTCAGCCTCCCAAGTGCTGGAATTATAGGAGCACACCACCATGCCTGGCAAGATACGCCAATTTTAAAAAGTTCCAAAAAAAATAAAATTTTTTTTTAAAAAAAAGTTCCACAGACAATATTCATGTTATACTGATTTGCTGCATTAGTGACAACTTGGGTTCACCAAATATATGGCCACACTGAGTCACAGAATGTGAAATAGCATCTTTAAGCGCTACCCACTGAAGGCCAGCACCTCATTATCCCAGTTTTAACAACCAAATTATCTTTACACACTTCCAGGTAGCCACAGGCAGTCATGACCACTCAGACCCCAGGCAGAGACCCACCAGTAAGTATGTACCTGACCAACAAAAATGTTATGTGTGCACATCAGAAAGACACATACAAACACATGCTCCATGATATTATTCACAATACCTGAATACTGTATAGGAAACTTAACAGATGCCTATCATTAGCAGAATGAACAATTATAGTATTCACATCATATAAAAACATATAGATATAAAAGACACCAATGAGAACAGACTACAACACTACAGAAGATGGCTGCATATGACACAAAAGGCTGAGCAAACGATGACAGACACAGAGCAGTCATTGTACAATTCCACCACTTACAGTTGAACAAATGAAGAAAAAAATCTATTACGCAGTTAGTCTTGGGAGGGAAGGCAGAATTGCGTGGAATCACGAGGACAGATTCAGATTACTGGGAATATTCTGTTTCTTATCTGAATCCCATCATAGGTGTGTTATATTTGTAAACTCCACTGGACTGAACACTTACAATTTATGTATACATTTTTCCATCATATATATATATATATATATATATCAACAAAAAGTTAAACAATAAGCAGTCTTAAATTCCAAAGTTTTAAATAGCACTTTTATAAGACAATTTTCCTTCAAAGTAGCTTACTACTTTGGTTCCTATCACAAACCTATTTCATGCCAGGCATCTTGGTGTGAACCTGATACACCAACAGTTGGGAAGGGGGGAAGGAGGGGGGTGGAAGGGGGGAGGGAGGGCGGGAGGGAGGGAAAGAATGGGAAAGGGAAAGAGAAAGAAAGAGAAAAAAGGAAGGAGAGAAAAAGAACACACGTAGTTCAGGCTTTTTACAATCGTATTTCCTTCACAGATAAAATTAAGCTTCTTCTGATATTCTGTTTCTAAAGTACACTGTTTTTCTCCAAACATAACACATATGATTGTATTTCAAAACGTGAAAAAAAAAAATAATAACTTACATCTTCCATATATTCGGGCTCTGATGCAGAGGCATCCCAACGATTATTCAGAATGAAAATATTAGGTTTAGAAAGCCGTTCATTCACCTTGTGAAAAAAATGCTTCTCCTGAAAAACATCAAAAATCCCAAAGTACATCATTTTTTAAAGGTTTTTATATCTACATTTATAATTGAATTTTTATTTTAATTTAAACTTCAAGCTATTTAGAAAAAATAGTAGTCAAGGGCCGGGGAGACGGCTCAGTAGAATAAGCACTTCCCTGGCAAGTGCAAAGGGCTAAGTTCAATCCCCGGTTCCACAAAAAAAAAAAAGAAAGAAAATAGTAGTCAACATCCACTGAAAGGAAGACCCTAAAGCATCCTATGAACATTAAACTTTTCAAAGATGAGGAACTAACGTAAAAGCAGGCAAAAGTGAGATCTCTAACTTTCCTGCCACAAGTCTTTTTTGAAATTTAACTTAGGGGCTGGTGAGATGGCTCAGTGGTCTAAAGCACCTACTTAGAACAAGCTTGGCAAAGCACAGGGACCGTGGTTCAATCCCCCAGCACCACATGCCAACCGGCCCCGCCCCCTGGTGGGCTGAGCTGGCCACACACACACACACACACACACACACATAAATAAATAAATAAAATTTAAAAAAAATAAAGAAATTTAACTTAAAACAGTATTTATCAATCTGTAGCACATACAAGACATAAAAGGAAATTCTGGGTATAATAATCTATGCTCTCAAAGAACTATCTCAAAGAGTTTCTAAGAGTCAGCTAAAGGAGCTGGGGAGATAGCTCAGCGGCATAAGTACCTGCCTGGCAAGTACAAGGTCCTGAGTTCAATCCCCAATACAAAAAAGAAAATAAGCTAAGTAAATTGGTAATAACGGAAGATACGTTTATAATTCATAATCAATAGAGGAAAGTATCTATAAATACTATAAACAAACACTGACAATTCTGACAGAGGAACTGTATCTAGCTGAAACTGGGAAAAGATCCACTAAGAAAGAAGTGATAATTAAGATGAGTTTGACTATATAGTTAAGCTGGGTATGGTGTCACACGCCTGCAGTCCCAGCACTTGGGAGGCTAAGGCAAGAGGATCACCGTGAGTTTCAGGCCAACCTGGGCTATACAGTATGGGACATTGTCTCAAAAAAAATGACAACAAGGACTGGCCAGCTAGCTCAGCAGATTAAAGTGCCTGTTTAGGCAGATGCAGGGACTAGGGTTCAAGCCCCGGAATGCACTGAGACTAGGCGTGGTGGCGCATACCCGTAACCAGTGCATGGGAGGCTGAAAACAAGAGGATCACTATAAATCTGACCTGTGTAGTAAGACCCTGTACTAAATAAAAATAAAAATAAAATGACAACAAAAAAAAACCAAAAGTACTGTTAACAGAGCTGTTGAAAGACCTCAACTTTAGATATACACAAATTATAGGGAAAGACTAGCCTAATCTGGTCTTTGGAGAGCAGGAAGTATAGCTCAGTGCACAGCACTTGCCCAGCATGCACAAGGCACCAGGTTTGATTTCTAGCACCTTCCACACATGAAATAATATCGTTAAGTAAAATTAGAGTACATATTTTAAACACATTGGCATCTTATATTACATATTCACGTTGCCATAATTGCCAATATTATTATAGTAGCCTGGGTGTTGTATCACAGACTGAGCTATAACACAACAGCAAAGAGAGGTCTAGCTGTTAACACCTAGATTCTAACGATGCTCAGCCCCTTATGTGCTTCTGATCAGTAAGAATTTTTAAGTTAAAAAAAAGAATTTTTAAGTCATGTTACAGTTTTGGAATATTAGATACCTAAGCTATAGAAAGTTCACATGAAAATAACTTGGTTCTACATATTCTGGGGAAATAATATTTTTTGACAGCAGTTTTGAGTGTGCACAGGTACCCAGGCTAGAGCTGGAAAAACTTGACAAACTGAAAATATAAAAAGCTTTGCCTGGCAGATGGCAGGGCATGGAAGCAGAAGTGGTTTATGCTTTATTAAAGAGACTTAAAATAGTCTCTAAAAATTTTGGTACCCATTCCCTCTGAGACAGCTAACTACTCAGAATAAACATCAACATCACACACTTTGTCACATTCCATTAAGAGTCACTTACTCGGGGCTGGAGAGATGGCTCAGTGGTCTAAGGCACCTACTTGGAACAAGCTTGGCAAAGCATCAGGGACCGCGGTTCAATCCCCCAGCACCACATGCCAGCCAGCCCCGCCCCCTGGTGGGCTGAGCTGGCCACACACACACACCACACACACACACACTCTCTCTCTCTCTCTCTCAAATAAATAAAAATAAAAAAAAAATTTTTTTTTAAAAAAAGAGTCACTTACTCTTATATCAAATTTCCCCATAAGGGCAACACTGAACCTAATGACTGAATTTGATTTGGTTCAAGACCAATTCAGCTTGCAACCAGAATTTGAAAAGAATTAAGTTTGTGAACCAAGGAGCCACAGTAAAGCCATCAAGGCCTAGCTTGCTACAGGAACCCAGCAATCACTACAGAAGATTCTGGTCCTAGGGAACACACATATATAAGCAGGCAAAAATGAAGTCTCTACCTTTCCTGCAGTAAGACTTTGATCCACCACTGACTTTAAAGGTTCTTTCTAATCCATGATTGGGACTGTCCTAGTTTTCTTAACTAAAATGGATATCATTTAATTTCCTATCACCCAAATACAATAATACAACTAAATCCTACCGTATTCATTAGTGTTGATTCAGAGTTTGCTACCAAAACGAAGACATCAGCATCTAGGCAAAACTTGTCAATCCAGCTGTCCAGCTCTGTTGTGACGTCTGTGCCTGGACTGATGGGAGATAAAAACTGCATTACATGATATGTTTTAGAAAGAAAATGTGCTTTCTAAATTTTTTCCCTAAACAGCTATATATTATTTGAAGCCTAAAAGACAAACTTTCTGCCAGTCAACTGTATGATTCCTAGGAGCCCGCAGCCTAGTGGTTTATCATAAAGTGATACTTCAAGTTTTTTAATCTTTATGTCTTCAAAGGCTGAAAAATAACTATTGTGAACTAAAACCAACTAAGTTAGTAGCCCAAAATGAGAGTGCAAGTAGATATGTCCTACACAGCTTAGAGACATAAATGTGTATTAATACAAATAATGAAAAATAAAATACTCTCTGGAAACTATAAATTAAACATATCACCTGTTATAAGAATTACAGTTGGGCATGGTGGTGTACACCTGTAATCCCAGCACTTGGGGGGCTGAGACAGGATTGCTCCAAGTTCAAGGCCACTCTGAGCTACATATGGAGATCTGGTTCAAAAAAGCAAAGCCAAACTACCTAAATAAATAAAGAAGAATATGCAAAAAAGGGGGGCAGGGAGATGGCTCAGTGGAATAAGCGCTTCCCTGGCAAGCACAAGGGCCTGAGTTCGATCCCTGGTTTTTTTGTTTTCTTGGTATTTTTTTTGCAGAACCGGGGATTGAACTCAGATCCTTGTACTTGCCAGTCAAGCACTTATCCTACTGAGCCATCTCCCTGGCCCCTCGATCCCTGGTTTTGCCAAAAAAAAAAAAGAATATGCCCCAAAGGGAAGGGGCACACACAGTTGGGGGCGGGGGGAGAAGAAGAAAATGCCAACAAACCCTGCATTAATGAGGGGAAGAAGGGTGGGAGAGAGGGAAGGGAAATGAGGGAAAAAAGAATTCAGATATATTCTGTACAGGTACAAATTCTCCATGCTGATCAGTATTATGAAAAATATGTACTAATAAAAAGAGGGCTGGGGATGTAATTTAGCACAAAGGCCGTAGTTTCAACCCACAGTACTGCAAAACCAAAACAAGCTGCCACAGAACACTGAAATGTTAGCTAAAGAAAAAAAGAGAACACCTAAATTTTAGAAAATAATTCACAAAAATTTTTTAGCTAGGGCTGGCGAGATAGCTCAGTGGTCTAAAGCGCCTGCTTAGGCAAGCTTAGGCAAGCATGCAGGGACCTCAGTTCGATCCCCAGCACCACATGCCATGCCAGCCCCGCCTCCAGGATGGGCTGAGTTGACCATAAAAAAGAAAAAAATAAAGGAAACATTAAAAAAAAAAAAAATTTAGGCTGCTTCAACAAAGCAGTCAACCTCAGGTTGCTGTGGTTCGAGCCCCACAACTCCAGCCAGCTAAACATGCCCTGAAGGCATTCTGAGCCAACCACCCCCCAAAAAAATCCTTCTGGGGCCAGGTAGATGGCTCAGTGGAAGAAGCGCTTCCCTGGCAAACGCAAGGGCCTGAGTTCAATCCCTGGTTCCGCAAAAATAAATAATAAATAAAAAATTTTAGCTGATGATACTCAACGATAAATATTATCATTTTCCCTTTCTTTTTCCCTATCTTTTCTCCTTTCTCTCATCATCGCTGTTTAATCCTTAAATTCTGTTTCTTTCCATTTTAGTATATCTATTATACCTTTTAGGTTTTATTTCTTTTTTGGGGTTCTTATACTAGGGAGACAATACGACATTCACACGTCTGGATCTGATTCATTTCACTTATGAGTACAGCCTCTAGTTGCATCCACTTACCTATGAAGGCTTCGAGTTTTTTATAGCTGAATAATACTCCATTGTACAAAAATACCACATCTTTTTCATCCATTCCTCAGGTGATGGGCATTTTGGTTGTTTCTAAGATTAGACTAGGACAAACTGTGCTACTATAAACATGGATGCACATGTATCATTGTGGTATGTTTTCAGTTCTTTTGGGAACATACCCAGAAGGGGAATAGCTTGGCTGAATGGGATTTCCAGTCCTAGTGTTTTGAGTTTCCACAGCGATTTCCATAGTAGTTGTACCAGCTTACATTCCATCAGCAGTGGAGAAGGGTTCCTTTTTCCCTCCAGCCTCTCTAGCATTTGTTATTAGTTGATTTACGATAGCCATTCTTTCTGGGTAGAAATGGTATCTCAATGTTGTCTTAATTTACATTTCTTGAATGGACAGTGCTGTGGAACATTTTTTCAGTTTTTTGGGTTTTTTTTTTTTTTTCCGGAACCAGGGCCCTGGCACTTGAACTTAGGCCCTGGCGCTTGCCAGGGAAGTGCTTATTCCACCGAGCCCCTTTTCAGGTATTTATTTACCTCTTGTATTTCTTCCTCTTAGAAGCATGTATTCATCTTAGATGCCCATTTTTGGATTGGATTTTGAAATTTTGGGGCCCTAATTTTTTTTAGTTCTTTATATATTCTAGATAGAATATCTCTGAGTGATTACTGGTTAAGATTTTTTACAAATGTGTGGGCTATCTTTTCACTCTGTTGGTGATTTATTTTGACATGCAGACTCTTCTCAACAAGAGGAGGTCCCGGTTGCTGATTCTTTGAAGTATTACCTGTCCAGTTTGATTTCTGTTCAAGAACTGCTTGCCTACCCTTATGTTTTTAAGATTTCCACCTACTTTCTCTTCAAGGAGATTTAGTGTTTCTGGTTTTTTGTTTTTTTCTTTTTATGTATTTGATACAGGGTCTCACTATGTAGCTCAGACTTGCAGTGAACCTCTTATTCTCAGCCTCCCCTAGCTGGGATTACAGGCATGCACCACCATGCCGACTCAGTCTCTGGCTCAGCATGCCCTGAGATCAGGGTTAGCATGGCATGCAGACTGGGGATGTCTCTGTTATAATGTTTAGATCTTTAATTCATTTTGACTTAGTTTAGTGCATGGAAATAGACCTAGGTCTAGTTTTAGTTTTCAGCATGTGGAGACCCAATTTTTCCAGCACCCTTTGTTAAAGAGGCTATCTTTCTTGCAGTGAAAAATGCTTTGCCCCTTTGTCAAAGGTAAGATGGATGAGTGTGTTTGTAGTTGTATCTGCATCTTCTACTGTGTTCCAATGATCCTCAGGTCTGTTTTTTGGCCAGTACCATGTTGATACTATCACAGTGGCTTTGTAGTATAATTTCATGTCAGGGATTCTAATGCCTCCTATCTTGCCTTTGTTGCCCAGGATTGTGATAAATACAACAGGATGATTTTACTATACAATAGAATGATTCTGAAAACACATAATAGGGATGCAGGGGTGAGAAAGTACACTTGTAATCCCAGCACCTGGGAGGCTGATGCAGGAGTATCACTTTAAGTTCAACACCACCCTGAACTACAATACTGAGACCTTATTCCAAAAAGAAATGTGTGTGTGTACACATATATTATTAAAAAGGGAATCAAGCCAGATACAGTGGGACACACTAGTAATTCTGGAAGCTGAAGCAGGATCATCACAATTTGAGGCCAACCTGGACAAGTTACTGAGACCCTGTCTCAAAATTAAAAAATTGCTGAGGATGAAGCTTAGAGCAAAGTCGCTTGGTTCAATCCCCAGTACGAGGGAGAGGGGAAAATAGAAAGAAAACAAAAGGAAACCGATAAAGTATCTGTTCCCAAACAATCTCAAAGGAGAACAAGGCAGTAGTTGAATGTTTTCAATTTTATGTACCACACACTAAAAGAGCATTGTTCCATTAAATAAGCCAATACCGAGAATAAACACCACTCACAAGTAATTTTACCTGTCTACTAGAACCAGGTCATCTCTCAAGAGGGCACATTTTGCCTTTGGCCAAAACACATGCACTAGACAACCAGCTTTCAAGTCTTTGTCCATATGGAGGGCATGGGCCAGCTGATTAACTGTCTAAAGCAGGAAAAAAAGAAAACAAAAAGCCTGTACTTGTAATAAAATTTCAGATACCATGATTTGCACAACATCCATTTTCACAAAATACAAATGTAAACTTCAGTTTGAAACAAAACTGAGTGATCTTAAGAAATCTGAGCTTTTAAATTATCAAGCAAGAAAAAAAAATTTTTCCTTAAAACTATTTACTCACACCATGCTACAAAACTAACTGGAAACCAACCCCAACTAGCAAATAGAACTCCAGCAATGGAATCCTAGGCAACTCCTGATGTTCATCCTGAATTTGTAAAACATGCGTTTTCAAGCCCCTGGTCACCTTATTTGTACTTTCCCAACTCTTCTGAAACAAATGTGTACTGCTTAAGAAATAAAGGGGAAACACTAGTGTTAGAAGAAATGTCTTCATTAAAATTAGGTTTAATGAAAAATTCCATAGGACTAAGCAAAAGAAATAGAAAAGGACAATACACAGTTGCCTTTTAATAAAATATTTTTTTCAACAGAGAAATACATTCAATCCCCAGTTCCACCAAAAAAAAAAAAAACAGAAATACAAACCTGTTTAAAATCAGTATGTTTAGGGGCTGGGGAGATAGTTCAGTAGCATAAGTGCTTCCCTGGCAAGCACAAGGGCCTGAGTTCAATCCCCAGTTCCACAAAAAAAATAAAATCAAATCAGTACGTTTACCTTTTCTTTCCATTTATGCTTATCTATTTTATTGTTTTTGTTTGTTTATTTATTTTGTGGTGGAACCGGGCATTGAACTCAGGCCCTTGCGCTTGCCAGGGAAGTGCTTATTCAGCTGAGCCATCTCCCCGGCCCCAAAAGCATTTTATTTATTTATTTATTTATTTATTTATTTATTTATTTGGTATTTTATTGTTTTTGGTACCGGGGATCAAACTCAGGAGGCACTTACGCTGCTGAGTTCTCTCCCCAGCCCTTCTTCTTTCCATTTAAATTCTTAAAATATTTTTATTTCTCAACATGACTTGTGACATACATTTATGAAATTAATATATACATTAGTATACTTCTTATATGCTCTAAATAGAGGATTTAAAATAAAATTAGTAAAATGAATCAGAAAAAGAGCATCTTACATATACATCTATAACTCTTTTGTTTCACATGTGCTCCTTAGTCCTGATCAAAGCTGAGGTAAATTTCTGCAGTGACACTGTTAGCTATTTGGGCCAGCACCTATTTAATGAACATCCTGAAAGATTTGTCAACTTAACACTAAAATTGTGGTGCCTCACCTGTAAAATCAAGATGAGAAAAGCACCGATCTGACAAAACCGTGATGAGGTTTGAGTTCTTACAAGTGTTTAGAAGTTGAAGTATTAGCTATTATTATTGTGTCTCTTTTGCTAAGTAAACTGTTATAGTACAAAAGACTCAGTCTACTTATATTGGAAAGCAGGCCACTACTTGAGATAACAAATTTAAATCGCGCAGTAAGAAAGGGCAGTAAATGTAGGGTATGGTGGTGCATGCCTACAGTCCCAGCACTGGGGGATGGAAAGGGGAGTTGAGGTAGGAAAATCGTTGAGGGTTTGAGACCAGCCTGGGCTACAAAATGAGCTTAAGGCCAGCCTGAGCTGCACAGCAAATAAGATCATGTCTCAAAAAGACAAAAAGGAAAAAAGGAAAAGACCTGAAGGGCACAGATAAAGAAAAATGGAATGACATTTTTAAATATCACACAGAGTTAAAATGAAATGACATTTCTAGGGCTGGGGAGATGGCTCAGTAGGATAAGCGCTTGACTGGCAAACGCAAGGATCTGAGTTCAATCGCTGGTTCCGCCAAAAAAAAAAGAAATGACATTTCTAAAATATCACACAGAACCAGATGTAGTAGTATAACCTGTAATCCTAGCACTCAGGAGGCTGAGGCAGGATTGTCATGAGTTCAAGCCCAGCCTAGGGAACACAGTGAGTTCACCAGTCTGAACTACATAGTGAGATCCTATCTCGGGAAAAAAAAAAAATTTTTTTCAAGCACCTGCCTGGCAAGTGCAAAGGACCCAGATTAGATCCCCAGTTCACAGGCCGTGCCAGCCCAGGAACCCCAGGTGCACCATGTTAGCCACAGAAACCAGGGACGATGGTGCACACCTGTAACCCCAGTGCTGGGGAGGTTGAGACAGGAGGATCACTGTCAGTTGGAGCTGTGTAGTAAGACCCTGTACCAAACAAATAAAAGTTTAAAAAAGAAAAAATATGTATTTTCCTTTTGAGATTCTCTAAAGTCACTAGCAGTTTGAATTTTGACTTGGCAAAAATCTTAAGTTACAGAATAGTGATTCTTTTAACTGCATGGGTTAAAAGCATGAAGAATATTTTTAGAATCATCTCAGCTATTCCCCTAGTTTCAGGGGTACGTTCTGTCCAAGGATAGACTGTGTCACCTGATTCTGTTTTGTTTTGTTTTGTGGAACCAGGGATTGAACTCAGGTTCTTGCGCTTACCAGGGAAGCGCTTATTTCACTGAGTTATCTCCCCGGCCCCTGTCACTTGATTCTGGTCAAAAAGCTAACTCACAAAACTGGACCCATCCATATAACTTCGCCAACAGTGCAGCAAATCTAAAACAGAATGGATCTTCAATACTGAACTTTTATCCCCGGTTCTGCCAAAAGAAAAAAAATACTGAACTAAAAGACCTTTAGATGGAAGAGAAGCTGATGCTGCTGGGCAGGGGCTCGGAAGTAGCAGATCACCTCCTGACCTGTGCAAGGTCCCGAGTTCCTTGTGCTACCAAGGGGGAAAATGAGAAACAATGCCCTACCAACTCCTTTCAGTTGCAGTAACATCAGACAGTGTAATTTATCAAGCTTATTCTTTTGTCTGCTGAAGAAATCTAATGGTAGAAATCTAAGAAATTTATGAAAGGGCAGGAGACATAGCTCAGTGGTAGAGCCCCTTGCCTACCAAAACCTCCTCAAAAAAAAAGTAGAAAACTGCAATATGCCCTTATCTGTTAAGTCTATGACATTTATTCATAAAGATGCTTAGTAACTTGAGGTAGAAAGCAGATTCCAGGGTCTATTTTCTAAAGCAAAGTTAAAAAAAAAAAAAAAAAAAAGAGAGAGGTGCGATGGTACCTGCCTATAATCCCAGCACTCAAAAGGCTGAGGTAGGAGGATTGCCACAAGTTTAAGGCCAGTCTAAGCTATACAGTGAATTCAAATTTACCATGAATTACAAAGCAAGACCCTGTTTCAAAAACAAAAACAAAACAAAAAAATAAAATAAATCTAAGAATAGCAACACCACTTAAGAAAATTCTGCATTTATTTAAAAGTAATAAACAGGGGAGTGAGTATAGTCCAGTAGTAGAATGAGTGACAGCAAGCACAAAACTCTATTCAACCACCAATACTGCAGAAGCTTAAGGACAGGTGTTATCTTCCCAGTAATTTAGCTCTGAAGAAAAAAAAAAAGACAAGAACTCAAAACATTAGTGATGGCTTTAAAAGGAAAAGAAATGCTAACAATTCTTCCATCTCCAGCAATGTAGACATCGCATGCAGTAAAACAGGAAACTGTAAGGACACGGTTTCAGGTACATTACGCTGACATGGTTAAGTATCATACCTTCACACTTCTTTTCTCATCTGATCCATCTGTCATAAGATAGGCTTTATCTCCATCAGTTCCTGCGACACTGAGGAAGCAGTTAGTTGTATGGCCAATCCCACTAGGGAGGACTTTATCCCACAACATTGCATTGATAACAGAGCTTTTTCCACTGCTTGTCCTGAAGAATATTCAAAAATCATAAAAAAAGAAGAGTAAAGTATTTGTTCTTTCACTATGTTTCAGGCTTTTTCAATCTCAATTCATTAATATTTCACTAAATTAATTTTATAAAAGGTTGACAACCTGTTAAACATTAGCAATGTACATTTAAAAATATTTTAAAAGTACCAGAGGGGGCCGCCCGTTAGCTCAGCCTGCTTAAACAAAGCAGTCAGGCTCAGGATGCTGTGGTTTGATCCCCAGATCCTCAAGCCAAGCCAGACCGGCTCTGAAGGCATCCTGAGGCCACCAGAAAAAAAAAAAAAATCCAGAAAACTGAGCATACCTTTTCCCATAAAACTATATTTACTTTTTCTTTCTTGCTTCCTACACCAATTTGAAATTATAGGCACATCACAGTTCTGATATTCCTCCTATCACAACATGGTGTCGTGTGTTCCATCTTCTTACACCTGGGATAGTTTGTGACTGCTTCAACTAATATGTCAGAAGTGACACTGGGTGACTTCCAAAGCTAGACATAAAAGGCAACAAAGCTTCTGTCCTGTTTACTGGGTCACATGCACTTGGAGACTTGCCATGTGGGAAGTCCAATTAATCCAAATCTGCTGTGCTACAAGAAGTCAAGCTAAACAGAGAGGTCTGGCTAGATGCTCTAGTTGCCAAACCTACTCTTCCAGTTATTCCAGCCAGATAAGTAAAGTTCCAGATTCGTGAGTGAAGATTTCAGATGATTCCAACCCTATGTTCAGTTGCTGAGCCACTCCTAACCCTCACAAAGCTCCAGACATTAAGAAGCAAAGAAAACACATACCTCTGTCCTGTGAGTTATTGACAGCATCAACGAACATAATATAATGGCTAATTTGTTAAGTTTTGGGTAATTTGTTATGCAGTCATAAAAGCAGAACACTTCTGATGACATTAAACCCCAAGAACAGCTTATATCCTCTGCAGGAGCTTGCTTTCAGGCCACCCAAGCCCAAGAAGCTACCCAGTCTTTACATTGTAAAAAGAACATCCTTATCTTCACTGCGTATGCTTCACCTTTCTCTTGATCAACAGGTCACACTTTTACTCTGGATGTCATTCTTAACCTCCACCCCAGGGAACTAGCCCCCTTAAATTATCTCACCTGTGATGTCACCCACATGACCTCAAACTCATAGAAATCCTCATGGCTTCTACTGCCATGATATCACATCTTACAAGGCCACCTAAGACCTCACTTCAAATAAACTGTTCTCTTCACTGCATGAAGCCTTGCTGCATGCAATGATCCTCAAGAGTAGTTTGCGTTTCCCCCATCTTCGATCATCTGCAGCCCAGTAAGGTAGATTTCTCAAGGGTACACTATGAACCCACAGAATCAGATTTTGGAGGTACTGCCAGAGTAATCCTTATGCATACAAAAACTTGAAAAACAGTCATCCTGTGGTCCCAAATTAAAAAAATAAAATAACAAAAAAACAAAAACAAAAAAACACTGTTTGGGGCAGGAGGGCTCTCTACTCTCAGATTAAGCACAGAACACCTCTGTGACCAAATGTATGAGGATATCCCCACACAAACCAAGCCACCCTACAGCTTACAACAACTGTCTGTCTGAATTCAATTAACTTCTGACACCTGCTACCAGATGACAGTGTCAGAAACTACAGAACAAGGACTCTGTTGCCAAGTAGGTCAACTGTAAGACTCACATTATGACCTATGCTTCTGACTGACCGAATGTATATCAGGGGGTCCACAAAGTACCTCTCCTTGGGCTTGACAAAATATGAGGCTCACAGAACTAAAGGAAATACCTGTATTTACTGGTTTATTAAAAAGAAATTGCCAGGGTATAGACAAAGAGCCTGATGAAGAGATGGGCTACGTGTGTCAAGTTATCAGCATCTTGGGGCTGGTGAGATGGCTCAGTGGTCTAAAGCACCT